CCTGGGGAATCCCGGGTCCATAGCCTTTTTGGCCTCATCATAACTGAAGAAACACAGACAGTAATTAGACTGATTCACCATTTGTAAACCGTCAACATACCTAAATCAGTCACCTGAATTAATTTCACGTCACAGTATTTGAACACACCTGTAGTAATTTCTGTCTACAAGGAACAGAGTCTTGGCAGATTCCACATCATAAAGGGCTGCATCAATTTTCTTCACACTTGAGGGCAGACCAAAGCTGGAAATTGACTTAGGATAGCCAGGTACAAGATCGTAGCCACTGAAAGCCCACACTTTACGATCTGTATACAGATTAAAAGAAAACATTTTAGTATCTGCATGTAAAGAGAAATAATTCAGTCTTAAATATAGTGTCAGGTTAGGAGCATTAGGTAGAAACAGAGAACAAGTAAAGTACCTTTAAAGAGCAAGACACTGTCTGACTCATGGCTTTCATAAGCAGCGTCGATGTTGATGGGGGCGTCTGGCCAGAAGTTTGTGATGAGACTTTGCTCTGGTGTCGCACTCTGGGGGTAGCTACGCCAGAAGAAACTGAGAACACACAACAACAGACGTTAGTTCATAAAAATTCTAAATTCAAATCAGCATTATTGGCATGAATGTATAACAACAATATTGCCAAAGCTACAAATAAATTACATAAGAATAATTAAATTCATACATTTCATTAAATAAGTAAATAAAACAGTAAAAGTTGTGTTTGTGTGTGTTAACAAAAAATTAAATAATAACAATAAAAATATATCAAATAAAAATTATGTAAAAGTAAATATTAAAAATAAAAGTAAATAAATAAAACAGTAATGTGTGTGTGTATTAAAAGACAAAAAATAAACAAATAACGAATTAATAAAAAAAAAAACTAAAAAATCAGTCTCAAATGTGAAATTTAAAAACAAAATACAAATAAGTAACAATTACTAAAATATCAAACAATCATAATAATAATAATAATTTGTAAATTAGCACAATTATTTATCAGTCTGAGTTTCCACTGGTGGTCCTCAGTTCATGGCATGAGGAGACATATAAATCTGCTCTTGTGTGAAGAGACAACACTCTCAACAGACTTTCAGATAAGTGAGTGTTCTACTGTATGTCTACAATACCTGCCCTTGAAGAAGAGAATTTCTCCTCGCAGGGTGGCGACAGCGTCCAAGACCATGGTTGAATCACAGGCATCAGGGGTGGTTGGAGGTTCAGGTCCAGGCTTAACAGGGTCCTTGTCTGGGTTTGGACCTGGAGGTTAAATAAAGTCAGCATCTCATTGCAACAAAGTTGTGTGACATTATCCAAGATTGTGCAGGAGCTTATTCAAGGATTCTGGTCATGTTATTAGCTATTTGTGCAAACAGGCATGGATGATCCAGCCAGTTAGTACTGACCATAGAGAGACTGAATGCCGTTGACATCATCCCGGGGCAGAACAAAGGTGTCGGGGTTTGCGTATGAGTACACAGGGTACATGAGAGCACCAGGATCATGAGAGTGAGACAAGCCCAGGGAGTGGCCAAACTCATGGGCAGCCACCATGAAGAGGACGTAGCCTACAGCAGAAACATGTACAGGTAGAGTTGTTCTAGATTACATTTTCATGTCAAAATACACACAATGGAGTTTTTCTTTAAAATTTCCTCCCATGCCAGTGGTGGAAAGTAAAACTAGGGTATGAAAATCACTATTTCAGCAGAAAGATATCAACTGTGACTGATGTTATTGAATACATCAATAATAGATTGTTAATACTGATGAATGGAAGTGTTATTTGACTGTTGACTAGGTTTTACAGCTTTTAATTTCTAGATTCAACTCCCACTAATTATATACAGTTATACAGGCAGTTTAGTCCAGTGGTTCCTAATCTAGGGGTCGGCCCCCTACTAATGGTCACAAGATTAATCTGATGATTTATCATGATACGATGAATGGGAGAGGATAAAAGAAAGAACAAAGTTCTGCTACACAGGTTTGTAATAATTTTTGGACTCTACTCTGATCTTTGTTTTTTTTCTGAAATATATTTATAGTATAGATCATTTAAACAGTTATTTAAATGAAACCAAATCAGAAGTTTAGGGGTAAATGTCTCTTTGGTATAATTGCCAACAACTCACATCTGAAACATGAAACCCAGCAACACATGTAAAGCCAGAAAGGTCTGCCTACAGCAGAAAGCACGTAATTACAGGACAGTTCCAGCTCCTCTTGATGATGAGCAGATATATCACATAAAAACACAAACTGACAAAGTGGTTAGTAGGTAAAAGAGCCACAAAGCAGAGCATAAATAACAAACTCACCATTGTTTGAGCGGAAAGTGAACGTCTCATCTTCATCAAAATGAGCATCTCCTCCAATGCCAGGTGCTGGAGCGAAGGCATGGGCAAGAGTGCCATCAGGACCATCAAAAGGGTAACCATCACCATGCTCTGTTAACAAGAACGTTTTCATGTCAAGCTACAAGCCATTAACCAAATTCATGTGTTAAACAGCACATCCGAACTGGGTTTTCAGATAACTTCTTGCTAGGATTAATTAGCTTTCTAATGTTTTGAAGACAAAGGCAACACATGTAGTTAAAGTTAAAATGCTTTATGGGACATCACAACCATTAAACTGAGCATAGGGAGAGGTTGTAACCGATAAAGACACAGGAAAAATAATTTTGTACTCACGTAGGCGGCCAAAGGAGATCATGATGTCAGCGGTGCCACTGTAGATTCTTGTGAATCTCAGAGGAGTGACTTTGGCCCAAACCTGCAGTGCCTTCTCTATGGAGTCATCGACCTCTGACACTGACATGTCAGGTGTGTAGTTCTCTATCCTGTAGGACAGAAAAATAGTCAAGAACATTATTTGATAGACTTCCTACAATTACTGTTTCACACACTTTCTCTCTTCAGATCATTCACCTGTAGGTGAGGCTGTTCGTAGTCCACTTGAGGTTTTCTCCAAAAGTGGAGAAACTGGCAATTTGGACGTCTGGAACGCCACAGCGGGGTTTCTTCATCATCTCTAAGGTATCAGCATCCAGCGTCCCAGTGACCTGGAGACCAAAGAACTGCTGCATGTCACTCAGCTTCCTGCTCACCGGGCTGATCCCCCGTCTGATTGTTGGACCTGTCTCCTCTGTTAGGTTGAAGAATTTCTTCAGGTAGCTCTGCAAAAGAGAACAAGAGTTGGAGACTTGAATGTACATCAACAACAGAACGTACATAATACACTTAAATTTAGCTATTTACTGCAGAGATTAAGCAGCTAACTCTTTTCCTTTGTCTATAACAGCGTAACATTCAGGATTCGTAGAACAAGTTTCCACATGCACCGAAATTCAAAATTGTCAGAATAAATGCATCAAAAGGCAAAGCAAACATACATACCTCTGCAAAATTCTCATCTTGCACAGTAACCTGCGGTACTGGCACGCAGTAAACTGCGACTGCCAGGCTTAGTACAATGCAGAGTTTGAAAGTCTTCATGGTTCGTTGAATTCAACTGGTGTTTCTGTGCTGGAGGCAGTGGTTATAAAGGCTGAGGACAGGGCATGTTGAGCAATGACCACCTTGAGTCAGTGACTCAATATTCCTTTTATGGATAAGAAAGGAAGTCTGGCTTTGATTGCTCATACAACAAAAAAGTTTCCCAAAACAAGATACTGTAATTATGATGACATGACACGTGTAGGATTGTTACATGTAACAGACAATGCTTGGGATTTTGTTTTATGAAATAAAGACCTGAAGAATGTCATAAATCTGCCATAAAAAGTACTACTTGTTTGAAGGTTTAGTTTTAAGATGTCTTTTAGTTTTTTTTAGTTTTCCAACAGTTTTGGTCAGTGGAATGGTTCTATTGCTAGTTGGGGCATCTTAAATCTGTGTTTCACAAAAAAATGAATACAAGCAAAAACTACATGTATAATCATTAATTTGAATCTGGATCCAGATTTGCCTCAAATGATTGAAAACAGTTATAGACATGCATGTGGTAGAAGTCAGCTAACTGCAATATTTCATATAAAACTTTAGAAAAAAATATAGGAATCCTTAAAACATAAATTCCAGAATATTTAGTGATGTGATTGAAAGCTCCAGAACTGCTACTAAACGGACCAAATGATGACATTTTTTGTCAACCTTTAACAAAATGTCTGAATCTGGGAATTAATCTGCAAAAAATAAATAATTTGTTCCTGGGGTCATCTCATGCAATATTCATAGTCACATCTCATAATTTAATTGAAACCTGTGTAAATTAAAAAAATAGTGAAATTAAAATAATAAGAAATAATAGATAAACATGTAAACAGGTACATGTTTATCAGGTACCTGCAGAGGTAACAGCTGAAAATGAAGATGTTTCAATTCCGTTAAATATTAGGTACTTAAATATTGGAATAAAATGTCAAATGAATGATGATTAGGGAGCCAAAAACTTCTTTATCTGTGTATTACTTAATTCTCAACAATATGTATGTGACTATGAAGTTTAACAGTGCTTGCCATTTTCTGTGTGTTTGGAAATTTATGTTAGTACTTTGCTTAGGTGTGTTTTTGTGAGCGTGAGTGCCCACTTAAAGCAGACACAGGAATGTTGTTGTTTCACATCATCACGAACAAAAGCCCTGATTATATTTCAAATAACATGTTATGATAGGTCGGGGAGAATCACAATATCATTAATCTCTTTGGTTTAATTATCTTCTCAACTGTAACTTTCATTGATCTTAAGAAGAATATTAAAATCAGTTTATTCTATCAATGTGTGCTGCACTGCATAGAAAACATAAGGCTTGATTGAGGAACTGTGTGAATCAACAGGTGGTTAATTTCCATCCACATTTGTCTGTAATAATCTAAAACAGCTTTGTACAGTAATGTTACTTCAAAGCTACCTTATTTTCCATTGTTACCTAACAGGAAAGTCTGATGCAATGTGTGCAACACTTAAAGAGAACAAAGGTGTTGTTGCAATAAAAAAGTAACAATACTATTATTTTAATTAAAAATTGGGTGATCATCACCAAAAGATGATGCAAAGGTAGAACCATAAAATACAGTTTACATTTTGTCAGGTGTCTTTAGAAGAACTGTAGGTCACATGCAATACATGTGAAGATATTTCAAATATTATTTAGCAAATACACACACACACACACACACACACACACACACACACACACACAAAAACAAACAAATACACACATCTAGCAGCAACATTTGAATAAAATACAAACATTAAAAAACACATTTGTAACATCAACATTACAGAACAACTGCCAAACTGGTACAAATGCCATTATTTCAACATTGTACTACGTACTGAGGTAACACTTTTAACCACTTCCCTGGATTATTCATCTGTTCCCAAATTGTTATTAGGTACATTGTGGTTATTGCTTAATATACAGTTTTGTAACACTTGTGTATACACATGGAGAAAGTACACAGCACCATCGTCATCAAGCTACATGAAGAACAGTCTTTCAATTATCTCCTCTCTGTCGGTATTTCATTGTTCTCCTTGCATTCCAGCAGATCATTAGCAGGGCCGGTGGAGACCACACGTTTAGAGCTGGAGTCAAATGTGTAGTGAATGTTTCCCTTGAAGAAGTGCGCAAAGCCTGTTAGGAATGAAGATCCGACATTGTTATATATAAAATGAACATGATATGAAGTTCACACACTGAAGTTGCTATATATTGCATACCCTGCGTTTACTGTACTGAGCCTTTAATAGCAGTTTTTCATTATATTGTGGTTGAAATGAAGAAAAACACTTGGTGATGATGTGAAATGCATTGCAGTTTTTAAAATGAATATTTATTTATTGAATGCATGTTTAAATGTTGCGTATAGCACATTTGGTGAGGAAACTACCATCATAGATGACGGCTGCATCTATCGGAGTTGGAATCCCGGGCCACTGCTGCTCTATAAGTGTCGGTGATCCTTCCATCATCTTCTGCTGCTCATCGTACCTGGATATCGTACACAAACAAAACATAGTGTATGTGTAATAATGGTAAACCACAGTCAGCTATTTCTCATGAGAACAGCAAAGTCTTCCTCCTTCCTCATTAATAAGATAAAACCGACACTGGATGAGAAATAGCAAAGCCACCAAACCACTCTGCTTTACACACAGGAAGCTTGTAAGTTGTCATTACGTCGACACTTAAGGAAGTTGTGAAATCATTTTTATTCATACTGCTCAATATCCCAAGTTAGCCTCAAGAGGCTTTACAATCTGTACAGTTTATACCGTCTATCCTTAGACCTTGATTGGATAAGGAAAGTCTGCCTTTAACAGGGAAAAAAATAAGAATAGATGAGCAACAGATGAGGACGGACAGACAGACATGTAGTAGTCTACAAAATACAGTACACCAACAATTACATTAAGTAAAATTACAGTATGGACAATTAGGATGACAAAACCATACAGATTATAGAGAGATTGTAAACATATATGAAGAATATGGATCTGCAAACAAGTCTCCAACATGGAGACATGAAAAAAAGGATAGACAACAAAAACAGACAACTATCTATGAACCTCTTAACTGAAGCTAATATGTGAAACTGATCCCAACTTAAACAAACCAGATGAAGCTTTTAATTGCCATTGTATGACTGCTGGATTGCCAAGGATACTAAATGTACAGCACCACAAGAGAATCCCCTCTGTGCCAGCAGGAGGAGCCTCACCTGCTCTGTCATCATTGACATTCTTCGGAAATCTCTATCATCTCACACTTGTACTGTATGGTGATAGGGCGAGTTGGGTTAAATTCTTAAGAACCCATGATAACACATCTTATATCTTCATTCCTTTCATACACTTATACTACTACTACTACTCATGTAACTGCACAGTGTGCTATATGAAAAAGTTGTCTGGGACTCACTGGCAGCAAGGAGAAAACAACACGCTTAAACTACACGCAAACTACTCATGCTAACTCAAGATGCACCGCAGGTAAACACTAAACTTGGGAAGACACTGAATACTGAACTTTGCTCCATATAAATGTGATGAAGTACAAAGTTTTTATAAAACCTGAGCGACTCATCCCCTTTTACATTGCTAAAGAAATAGTTTGACATTTTGGAAAATGTGCTTATTTGCTTTCTTGCCTCGAGAAAGATATCTTTGCATTCAGCATACAGCCATTGGGAACTTGCCTAGCTTAAAGACTGGAAACTTGGGGAAGCCAGCTGTAGGAAACTGTAGAATCTTAAATACCTCCAGCACTCATGGCCAGTGAAGAACACAGTGTAGCGGTCATTCCTGAAGTGAAGAGCAGCATCTACAGATTTTATTCTAGAGGGGAAGCCCAAGTCTGAGATGTTTCGTGGAAAACCCTCCTCAAGTTTTAACTGCCTCAGCATCCAGTATTGACGACCTGAAACAAAAACACTACTGTCTCACATTTACATACACATTATATTGTCTATATCCACTACCAATTCAGATATACGTGTTTTGTCATTAGACAAGTCAGTTAAATTGCATAGTGCACAACTCATGATGGTCTTTACTTTATTTTACCTTTGAAAAACACAATAACATTCTTCTCCACATTCTCATAGGCAGCGTCTAAGTAGAGGGGTACTGTGTCCGGCCACAGACTGCTAATCAGGGTGATTCCTGTTTCATCAAACATAGGATGCTTACGCCACATGAATCTAAAAAAAAAGGCAGAAAGTTATCTCAAACATCATTTCAGTCATAGTTTTTTCCTTTACCCTTGAACCAAGGAGACACCAGGTGAGAAGCAAGTCAGTCTGACACACAGCTACTGGAGCAGTTTACGTACCTGTCTTTGAAAAACAGGACCTCTTGTTGTAATTCTGTTACAGCATCAAAGGACAGTTCTGGATCACATTTGTCAGGTGTTCTTGGAGGAGGTTTTTTTGAGAATTCTGAAGCAAAACGGGGACTGATACCTGCAGGCAACAGAAGCAAACAGTTTCAGCATTTTCTGCTCAGACAAAGTCAAATAAAAGCTGTCTGATCAGTGCAAGAATACTGTGATTTCCAAGAATATACCATCAGCAAATAATATAATCTGTTTACAAGCCGAAGTCACAGATGTCTGCATGGAGTCTAATACGTATGCGTGCTTTAGTAAGAGATATGAACATTTATGTGATAAATATAGTGTGTAGTGTGTTATGCTTCTCATCAAACTTTATTTATTGCAAAACTTGGACAGAAGCCACTGACACACACCATCTACGTTCCGTTTTGATCATTTCTGCCACCATTCATTCTTCCTAATGAGCTGCTTTTGTCAGCTAAAACAGTCATTTACACCTTTATGTAACGTATTTTGCAACAGACTGTATATTTTAATGTGATCTAACTATTATTATAAAATCTTGTGATTTTATAATGCAGATTTGTGAGAAGTGGAGACTAAATAAATCTTAAAGGTTTGTCGTCATCTTGTGACGTTACCCTCACTGAACAAATTTCAGCGTTATGATGATACATTAGAAAGAGGATGTTGTGGTTTTTAGTTAGAAATAATCCCACCTGCAACAAATAACAGTTTGATTACACAAGCCTCATCATGTGTGTACACAGAGGTGTTTATTTGATGTGGATGTGACTAGAATTATTTCAAATGGTGTTTCTCAGGTAAGATAAACTTTATTGTCACATAGCAAAATTCATTTTTCTGTGTCTAACCCATCCCTCAAGGGAGCAGTGGGCAGCCACTGTGCTGCGCCCAACTCCAGATAGAGTCATTTACACATTTTTGAGGGTGGGGGATACCGGAGCACCCGGAGGAAACCCACACAGACACGGGGAAAAAAGAATCAGCAAGCTTTCGGAATCCAAGCAGTCCAATGATGTTTCATCTTTTGAATCCAGCTAAACTCACCATACAGGTGTTGGACATCTTTGACATCGCGGAAGGAGAGCTGAGGTTCATTATTTGGGGCAAAGTTGTATGCTGGGTACATGATAGCTCCGGGGTCAGATGAGTGGGGCAGGCCAAGTGCATGTCCAAATTCATGGGCTGCTACAGCAAAAAGGTTGATACCTGGAGCAGGAACACAAACCTTGTGAGGGTTTTATTGCACAGAGCGGTTGCAAGGCTGCACAAAATAGTGTACATAAATGTCAGTGAGAGAAACAGGACTTCAGTACATAGAAATCAGGTCATCTTTCAGACCTGCGATACTGCTTTAATACTCAAAAGTATTTTTGGTTGAATTCTTTTCTTTTAAATTCTGACTTGTCACCTCCCATCTGTGGCTGTATGTTCTCAAGATACCTCATGTCACCTTAAATTTTTATTGCATTTGGGCAAATAGTGTGAAGGTGTGTTTCCCCAACAAAACGGGATATACTGTATGCATAATTTTTACATTTGAGTGAGGATTCTCATTATGTTAAAGAAATATTTTTTCAAAATTTCAAAATACAAGTATTCACTTTGTTAAAATTAGATGGGAAGATGGATACCACTAAGTCTGTCCGTTAAATATCTATAGCCAGCAACCAATTAGATTATCTTAATGCTAGAAGCAGGGAGATAATATATCCTGCCTGCCAACTGTCTGTCCAACCACTACTGTTTGTTTTTACCCTTCAGTTTTTGTAGTCGTTAAAAAAAACATATAATGTGTTTATTAGCGAGCTTCAGAGGTCCAGTACTGATAGACATTTTTGTGTGTTAAACAGAGCCAGGCTAGCTGACTGTCACGTGGCTGTTGCTTCTATCGTACAGACATGCAAGTGGTATCTAGCTTCTAATCTAACTTTGCATGAAAGTGAATCAGCAAAATGTGAAAAGTCTGTTCTTTAAAGTCAATAAAATCCTACCGTGAGTGTTTGTTTTTGTGTGTGTGTGTGTGTGTGTGTGGGATTGCTAACTCTTGTACCAGTAGAATTAAAGCTCCAATCTTCATCAGCATCAAAGTGTATGTCTCCACCAATACCAGACCCGGGCATAAAGGCATGAGCCAGGACTCCTCCTTTGCCATCAAAAGGTGAGCCGTCCTTATGGTCTGCAACAAACAGAGCAGTTGGCCATTATACTTAGTGAATCTTTATGCTATTTGTCAGGATCACTGTGCAAATCAAATTTTAGAGCTCACCGCCATGGTGAAAGGAGATGACAATGTCAGCCTCTTTCCTGCCCCGCTTGCGAAATTTCATCGGCGCAACGTTGGACCAGAGTTTCCATGCTGCTCTGAAGACTCTGGAAACCTTTGAGGCCTGGATAGGGAACTTGTAGCCAGCAATCCTGAGGAACAAAGATTGAATTTTACTACTTAATTTGATTCATCTTTACTTATCTGATAAATGTCATGTTTTCTTTCCTGTGAGGGAGAAGAGTAGAATAATAATTTTGGCTTGTGGTGTGGATCTATGGATGCCAGTGTCCATCTGTCAGTCATCCGGTCCAAAACCTTGGTCCAGACTGAAATATCTCAACAACAATTGCATGGATTGCCATACAGTTTAGTACAAACATTCATGGTCCCCAGAAGAAAAGTCCTACGGACTTTGGTGATCCCTGGTTTTTCCTGTAGCACCAGCAGAGGTTCACATTTGGTGTTTTGAGTCACATGTCAACAACTATAAAATGGATTGCCATAAGATTTGGTACAGACGTTCATGGCCTCCCCATGATGAATTATGATATATTAATGTTTGTAATCCCTTAGGATTTCCTCAAGTGTCACCGTCAGATCAGAATTTCCAGAATTTTTTTTTTTACCAAATACCTGCAGAACTAACGGTATTCCAAAATACCAAATCACATTACAGACATTTTTTACTGCCCTGCTTTCTGAACATTTCAAACCTGTAGCTGAGGGTCCTCTTCTTCCAGCGAACTGACTCTCCAAATCGTTCCACATCTGACAGACCACAGCGCGGCTTCTTCATTACTGCCAGAGTCTCTCTGGTCAGCTCTCCACTTGGAGGTAAACCAAAGAAGCGCTGCATCTTCTGGACGTTATCACAGAATTCAGTCGTCCAATCAGCATCTTCATCTGGGTCTGTAGTCCTCTTCTGTCTCTCTGACTTGGGCTTGAAGCCATAGAAGTGCCGTAGATATTCCTGAACATGATCATTTAGTCAGTATGCAAGATGGTGAGTTACTGTCAACTGAATGTATGCTGACCTGATGTAAGCCATTCAAACACTAGACTTAAACACAAATTTATATTTTTAATGTTTTCTTTGTTGTATCTCTCAAACAAGAAGAAATAACATGCTGACACAAGCAGCTTGAAAACAATTTGCAATGGGTAAACTTTATAAAACAAATGTGCAACCTCTCATGAAATGACATCAAAGACCACAAACCAGGCCAGAAAACAAGGTGTAGTCATGGTCATCTACTGCTGGCTCGACTACGGTAACGCTCAGGGGTGTAGTGACTAGGGAGTAGCCTGGAAATCTCCTGAAATCTGATTTACAGGGATAATGTGGAAAACATATTTGATTAAATTCCTTTAAAAGATACTTGTAAAATGTCTTCAGTTACGGAGAAAATTCATAAAACCCTTCAAGCAACTAACTCCTCTGCTGTACAGGATTGTATTTGATTAGCAGATATGTGTGTGGAACAGACACAGATTCACTAATGGCCTCTGGAAGCCATTTGTCACACATTTTGTTTGAATTGGCTGGAAAGAAAAGAGTTTGAATGAAGGAGCTGCATGCTATGAGGAGAATAAAGAAATTGTATTTCTTGCAGGCTTACATTCAGTTTGTGTCTAACAAATGGAATGTTATTAATTAATAAAATTAAATAAAATGTTTTAGAAAACGTTTTTGCTGAGAAATGATTTAAGTGAATACATTCACTTAAATTGCACATTTTATTTAATGACTATAGTCATAAATGTACAAAACTCTCTGTCATGCTGTCTTAAATGTTGAAATATAGTGTTAATTGTAGAGAAAATATCTATGGATACAAAGCATTCAGATTAAGATAATATTGTTTTTTTTATTATCTTTTTTTAAATTATTGTGGTAAATGGTCTGCACTTGTAGTCTTCCGACCACTCAAAGTGCTTTTATCCTACGTTCACATTCACTCTTTTTTGAAGATGGTTAAAAGATGTTGCTGGGGCACCTGGGACCTGTAAAAGCAACACTCAGAAGTGTACTGGGAGATTAAAATGATCAATGAAGGTATACTGCTGTGCCTTGTGTGTAAATGCATACAGCATCTGTCTTAATGGGGAGACCTTTCGCCCTATTTCACCTAGCTGCAAACCATCCGCTAGTCTAAAATTCATCTAAACACGAGTCTTCACATGGGACACAAACCACCGTCTCCTGGGTGAACATCCTATTTTTATATTGCCTTGTGCTCCTCTTATATCTTTTCTTAATGCCTTTTTGTCTTGTGTAAAGCACTTTGAATTGCCTTGTTGTTGAAAGGCGCTATACAAATAAACTTGCCTTTCCTTGCAGTCTTTAAGTTCCAAACATTCCAAACATTTTCTCAAACCTTTAATAATATAACAGTGCAGTAACGCTGCTGCACTCATGTAATTGTAGGTGTCACACAGGGCATAAAGATACTGCAGCCTCTGACTTATAGTATTTGCTGCAGCTCCATAAAAATATAAACAGTAACCTCCATGGCCAAATGTTCCATTTATTGTAACACCGCTATAATGTGAGTGTTGGTTGTATGTGATTTATTTTGTACAAGACCAAAACGAAAAGTGCAATACAGAAATAACAAACCACAAGGGAAGTGAAGAAAGAAAAAAACAAATAAATTATTATTAAAATCCATCTTAGGACATCAGTAAATCATTCAGTGTAAGGCTGATGATGTTTAGACAAAATGTACAAAGTATGATTGGACTAAGAATTTTCTTTCTTCATTGGGTAACGATTGGTGCCCATATACTGTAATACCTCATTTTGGGAAATATAAACATTTATAATTAAAAATTTTTTTTTAACAAAATATGTCAAATATGATACCAACTTTCAAAACCAGGCAGTCGATGCTACCTAAAAGTCATTTGGTGTTCAGAATGTACTGAATTTACCCTGCAGAATTTAATTCCTGTCTGTGTGAAGAAGGCTTTGAAACAGCATTTCGAAATAATATAAATTGCATTGAATATATCAAATATGGAAAAACAATTGAAGATACAATGCAAAATCAACGCTGCTCGTATCACTCCGTTAAGCCACACAAGAAGCCGGTTGCCCTGTGAAACCTCATCCCACTTAAGCACCATTTTATGATTTATCAGAACATGTTATATTTGGGACATTTAAGATCAAGATCGTTGTCAACATTGACAACAATATTTAAACACAGGATTGGCAGTCACAAAATATGTTTCACTTGATAAATCTTAGCACTAACAGTGACTCTGTGTGGCTACACATTTTGCTGTTATCTTCAGACTTCATTATCCGTTTGCACAAGATAACGCTGGCTTTGTAGACATCACATTTTGCCTTGTTACAGCCTTCTTGAGAAGTGAGTCTAGTCAGACTGATAGAGGAGCCAATTGGCAGACATTCAGAAGGAGGATAATTATCAATGCATCAATCAATCACATTTTACTTCAGCCGAGGTTTCACAGGGGCAGAAATGATTTAGGTCTCTAATTAAGTTATGATATCAAGATTTCATTTGTTCTCTTCAAATTATAAGTAATCAAAGTTTTGTATTATTAAACAATGTGATGAACAACCGCAGCAGCTGTCAACTTCCAGCAGAACGAGCATCCAGAACTGAACTTACTGGAGGTTTCAGAGGATGAAAGACATCCAAGAGATACACTTATCGAGATACATTTCAAGTAATCTCTCATATACAATAAGTAATATGTTGTTCTTATTTTAGTAGCAGATTTGAACTCGATTTGTCGCCACAATGAAAAACAGCAGTTATGACGGGTTCTCACTAAACACTTTGGGTATTTAATCCATCAAGGCATTAACTAACATTAGTACGGCTGAAGATGGTTTCGCTCATCTTACGGATTTGACTGGTAATGTACTGGTGACAAAATGCAAGGGAAATTTGACTTCCGTCAGTGACTATCGTGATGAAAAAGAAAAACAATGTTTGACTAAAACATTTAAACTAAACTTGTTTACATGGGATGATTTCTTTCATTATTCTTATTAAACATTATATCCCCACAAAAACAATTCTACAAACAGTGTTAGTTGCCATAATAATGTGTGGACCTGTGGAAAAAGACATCTGGAGTCATTTACAGTATTTTCTGGAAAGAGAAACAGATCCTATCAGTGGGTCAACAATGAGTTCATTTAAGAAGCTTTTGGGGAAATCCAGCACTTAACTGAACCAACAAATATCAACCATACAAAGCTCCACTCAGGTCAAAGTAATGGGGCTATAAAGCTGTCTAGAGTGAATCTCTCATAAAACACTGTCTCAGAGCAGAGACCTGTTTATCTGGCTGGCTCTATTTCATACTTTCTTACATGGCTCTTAAGTGGTAAATACCTCTGCAAACTCTTGGTCGGCTTCAGGTGGTTCTGCATGGAGTTGTCTTGGCAGGTCTGGAGTTCGGAGAGGCAAGGCTGTGACAAGAGTCTGGCCGGTCACCATAAGAGTCACAAAACACAGCCACAGCATCTTCGTGTTTGACAGGCAGGAGTCCCAGCAAGTCAGTCTGTTCAGCAGCTACTCGGGGCTAATACTAAGCTGCAGTGGGGACCACCTGTTAATTATGTATGAGTGTTCCTGTCCCAACAAGAACAGCTTGGTGGCTCCCTGCATAACAAGGTCTTTTTTAATGTCTCTCTTCTCTTCTTTTATTTATAAAGCTTGTCAGAGTGGGAAATCAGTCATAACTGGTACAAAATTCTCAGAAACGTTCTTACTTTCAGATTTAGGAGTAAAAACAATCTATCACTGAACTGCCCCTATCTCTATTCAGTTCATGGGAACTGCAGAGCTGTCCTAACCTGCAAGTGGAGAGTGACAAAAACAGCAAGCTATGCATATACATGGGATGTTTAAAATAACACCACGGTATGCTACAAAGATTAAATTCAAAATTCTTTTGAATGATCCTGTCAGGGATAATCTTGGAATCTACATGAATTTGTTTACTCCACAGAAAACCTCCCTCCTTTCATTTCATATTTGTGTGACAACATACCTTGAATCACATTCACAAGCTTTCGAAAATAGACATGGAACTACCGAGCCCTTTCTATTGCAAGCTCCAAAACTACATGTCTTTCCCCAGCTCTATATTACATTATAAAAGGATGACACAAATTGGTTGCATACAATGCTTAATATTGTGGCCAAAAGGTCCAGGTGCCAAAGATTTACCTGGGCCATGAAGTGAAGCAGCAAGGGTCAAAGAAAACATCTGGTCTGTAAGCAGTTTAATATAATTTAATTTAATTTGTGTGTGTCATTTAAGTAAAATATAGCTATCCATCCATGACACAATGGGTTTTTATATTCAAAGTGTTACAGAACATCACAGTGTCACTTTATGATAAACGATAATTGAGAGGTTAAAAAACTTAGATAGGCACTCTGGGTTATAGCCCGAAGACATACATTAATCATAGTCTTTACCTTTACTGAACTGTCTGCAAGGTGAACGAGGGCAGATTTATTGTGCTGCATTCTTTCTTTTTTTCTTAGGTAATGATCCTGCCAAATGAGGCAATTCTCAAATAAGATAATAATGTTTTTGGGGATGAAGAAAATAAATCAAATAAAGTCAAGAACTGATGTGGTTTGAAGGATAGAGGCATTTAAAGTATAATTGATGACATGGAGCCAAAGAAACGCATAGGTTTTACCTTACTGTGATAATGTTACTTTAAAGAGACAACATAAAAAAAGCTGGTATAATATAAAATAATGAAAAATGCGTGATCAACTGTCATCCATTTTCTAGCATCTGGTTGCCTCTTCTTCACGCCTCATGACTGTTCAGCAGTCTAGTGGCAAAACATTGCAGGAGTCGTGGTCATTACCTCCGACAAGGCCGGAGTGTGGCATGCTTACGCAGAGCTGTCTGATTGATACACTGCTAACGCTGTACAGTCTAGACTGGATGTGTATTGCAATACTATGAGTGCACTGCAACACTCTGCTTTAAATTGTTTCAAAATCAAGTCTGATCAATCAATTAGATCGTTTGACATTTAATTAGCAACGTTGTATTCTAAATTTTAAATGTCTTTTTAGTTCTCAAATTAGATCACCTCGCTGAGGTGGTAAATAAACATACTATTAAGGTTTATAAGCTAACAGCATAGCTCTATGGATGGCAATGTTGCTTGACCACTTTGGTCCAGGATGAAATGTCTACAGAATTTTGTTCCATACATTCATGTTCCTCTTTGAATGAATTTTAATAACTTTGTCCTGTTGATGGATATGGGATCCCCTATCCATCAACAGGACAAAGTTTAAATTTGTCCAATACTTTGGTTTAGGACGCAATACCTACAATACACATGCCATTCCCATCAGCTTCTGCTGTACTTTGTTTGCAGTGCTAAAAAGAACCCTACACAATATACCTGCTAAAAATCTCCATCATGTTAGCATTTAGCTCTCAGCACTGCTGTGTTCAGGTACAGCTTCACAGAGCTGCTATGGCTGTAGACTCTGGTCTTGTTAATGTCTTTGAGTTTTCACAGGTTAACCAACCTAAAGCCGAGTTATTTATGCACAGACACATTAAGGTTAAAATACACAAATGCATAGCTATTCTACCTTAAAATATACAGTAACAAGTTCAAAAACAAGGACGTATGCCAACTAATAACAGTATACCAGTGTGCCAGCAGTGACGTCAGAACCAGCAGCCTCTCCGTAGGTGCTTTCATTGAGCTACTCACCCTCTTCAGCAACTCAGGCATTCCCAGCATGAGTCAGCTCAGTGTATTGACACGGCTTCTCCCAGATTAAATTTGTTTTACAGCTGTGACATGCACCTCTAAGCCTGAAGACAATCTAGTGACGGGTTTCAGTAGATACAAGTAACACTGAGTCAAAGGAAGTGGGGTGACTGGCTAAAACCTGCTAATGATACTTATTAGGGCTCTATTACACACAGCTTGACACTGACTCATAATATCTACCTTAATGGACCCGGCCGGCTGAGGCTGGATTTGATGATTCAAATAAAACCACTGTTGTTTTGCTACTACTATCTGGTGCAACAGTGGTGGAATGTAACAAATAAGATTTACTTAAGGTACTTGTACTTTACTTAAGCCTTTTGTTTTCATGTCACTTTCTGCTTCTACTTTGTCACATATTAAAGGGAAATATTTATTTTTTACTTCACAATTATCAGCTTGACTTTACATATTAAGAGTTTTGCATTCAAATGTGTAATAATGTCAGATTTTGGACTATTGGCTGGACAAAGCAAGCCTTGTGAAGATGCGACTTGGAGCTCTGGGTGACTGTGACACGATTCCCTCTATTTTCAGAATTATTATAAACCAAGCAATCCCAGTTGTCGATGAATTGAGAAAATAACGAGCAGATTAACGAACAATGAAAATTATCAGTAGCTGTATCTAAGAAATTACTCTACCTCAACCAGCTACAACATTTCTGCTAATGAAAAAGTAATAATCTAATGATAAAATATGCCAGAAGGCAGGGATTTTTTACAGGTTGGTCACATTGAAGGGGTGTTTTCCCTCTTTTCTCAATAAACCAATGGAGTTGTGTCAAACAAGGGCCAGGTGAGGAATGTTTGTGTTTGTTGAAAAAACTCTGACAAGTTTAAGCCAGAGCTCTGTGTTTTGAGTAATTACAGTTTACGATCTCTGTTATGTTCAGGATACCTTCCTGCTGCATACTCTGATCGACAGTGTGTGTGTGTATATTATACTATTTCTGCAAAGCCTGATAGATGTGTGTGCTGTTGTGTTTCTATAGCATACCGAATACTGACATCCTGTTGACAACGACGTGTTTGTGTTCATACAGTAACTGGCAAAAACCTTATGCACTTATGGAACATTTAGCATCAACTGCCTTTACATAACAATGCTTCTGTACAATACCCAGAGAGGAATGTGTTGTAGCCTATGGATGTTGGAATTAATCTGTCTGAACTTGCTGTTATTACAGTACACGTCAAGAGGCCCAGCTAAACTATAGACAGTACAAACTGTATGTCCATATACAGTACTTGCTGTACATTACATGTTGTGATTTGATTCCTCCTGCTGTTGAAAAAGTAGTACTGCAAGATGAAGGAGAACAACATGCAAGGGACAGTTTTTGTTTTTTAAATTGTTATACTGATTCAGTTACAGTACAAATACTTAATAAATAAATCTAGGGAAATCAGGGAAATGAGAGATTCAGAAGTGTTTTAAACTGTTGGAAATGTCCTCTTTGCAGTGAGCTTTCAGGTCCCCTTTTGACAAATTTAGGATTAGCAATGGGCTGAAGACCACATTACAGAATGCGTTATGTTGTTTTGTTTTGCTTTGTTTTAATTCTGTCCTAAAACAACCAACACTCAACACCAGATATCCAGACATTCAAAGAAAATACAGACAAGTACTTATTCTATTATGCTATTCAAGTCCGCTCAAACACGTGTTAGTAGTCTGGTGTCTGGCTAGTTAGGCATTTCTACAAATGACCTGCTGCTGAATACGGAACCCTGTTAGTATGTTTATTTTTTTGTGTTTTGTGTGTTCATTTAAATGCAGTACTGTATAGACTCTTTTAATATACTCAAAGATTAACAAATTATCTTAAACAGGTACATGGCACCAAACATCACTGAGTAAGGTTCTTCATTCAGTGTTCTGTATACATTATGCCAAAAACTAAAAAAGTATCTGGGGAAATCCTGATCCGCTCATTAAATAATAATAAATCTGTTAACATTTATATGTTAGGTACTTTATTGAGACTTCAAAAACAAAACAATTGAATATAATGTTGCTAAAACTTTTTTTATTAGAAAAATCTTAGGAAAGAAGAGAGAGAGACGAATCAAGAGGATTTAAAATTAATATCTGGTCAGCAGAGGTCCTCAACAGAAAATTCAAACGAAGTGATTGATATGGGAGTCTGATCAAGCCCGGTACTGCATGTGTTTCTACATGCATGTTTCTACATCACATCATTTGATAGAAGCTAAGCTGTGAAAGAGGTCTAAAGATTGCACAGCGAGAACCGATTTCAGATAAATGCGCTTTTGTCTAAAGGTTCACACTTTTAATGTGCACAGTATATTCACTTCTCTGCTATTGTGCATGGTCCTTGTGACATGTCTTTGTGCCATCATGCTACACTTCCAGCTGCACTAGTATAAAGGAGCAAATCAGTAACTGAATGAAAAGTCCAGGTGACACACACACTTTGAGCTGTGTCCAACACAAACAAGCCTGGAACAAGCCTACAGTGTGTTGCAAATTTTTATGGTGTAGTGATTAAAACAGTACTTCCTCAAAGTACTCTGAGCGAAAATATCTTAACCCACTCTACAAATGTCAGCTTCGCAGTTCAAACACAGGGAAAGAGCAAACCACCCCTATATCTGTGAGGAGCTATACTGAAATATGGTGCCTGCAGTGTTTGCACAGCCAGTGAATGCCACACCTTGGAATTGCACGACTCAGTTCAAACAACTAACATTGGATTATTTGTGATAAGATCCACAACACTGTAGATAAAGAATTCAGGAGTCATTGGTTAATACAGTGGGTGGCTTCAAAGACAAAACAAACTTCTTCTGTAGGCAAATTGTACGACACGTTTTCTTTTATTGGACAATACAGGACATCATTAAAGACTGGCACATGATCAAAGTTTAACAAAATGTTGGCAGAGTTTGCTCTTCTGGGCTGGACTTAAGTATCATCACTTACAGCTACAGTTAACATCATTAGAACAAAATGCAACGAACATGTTGGACACATGGAACGAATGGAAGGCCAAAGAATCAGGCATTTGTCCTCCTGATCATCAGTGGAAGGGCACACTGCACAACACAAGAAACTATTTGAATGGTTTATCATGAACATCAAGGCAACTTGGATTACACTGCAAGGATAACAATAAGGCACCCTCTTTGACAGCTGCTCACCTCTACTCATAAGCAGTGATTTCAAAGTAACATACAGTGAACGTTCCACTCAGACATTTGAACAGTGTTAATACTTATCTTTAATACATTATGCTTATGAATGTTTGCAACACTGGGTTAACGGAACTGTTATACCTAAGCATATGAGAGTTAGTGACAGCATGTAGGCGTAATGAAATGTGACTGTATTACGTGTTGTCTCAGGAAATCATCCATCACACAGCAGTTTAGGAGGCCACACAAATACAAATATGTCCAAACAATAATGTTATGCATCTTCCACAGTTCAACCAGTTACTTCAAGCTCCAGGTTCTATTGTTACCATTACATGTCCACCATTTCACAGTAGCAAAACAAACACTGTAAATAAAAAGCCCTTCATTTCACGTTACAGATCCAGTTCATGAAAACTTCTACAGTGGGTACGTGGTGGTTCTTCCATGCACGCTGGCGTGCTTGGCAATGTCTGAAATAAGCTAGAAATGTATGCCACCTAGTGGTTATATCACAGACTGTTTCACAAAGCTTTTCCTCTACAAGGTGTCCATGTGCCATCTGACTCTTCACCTTGATGCTATGGCATAAATATACAAAAAAAAGAGTTAAAGGGTCATTTAATCCTAATAAGAATGAAAGACAGTCAACCACCATTAATCTTCTCTAGCGTGACACAGATATTAAAGGGTACTTTGGGGATTTTTCAACCTTTTTTTCCCATGTTTTTGTGTCTATGTGACTATTTGGGACAAATTCTTTGAGAATTGGTCCAGCAAAACAGGGCTGCTACATAATCTTTGTTTTTGTCACTGACAGGCTCCGATTGTTTTTGTGTCTGACAACATTGTGGAAATGATCCCTACAGAGATAGACCTTTTCAAAGAGTAAAGTTTAACCAGAAACACTCACTATATTGCTCCCATCAAAGCCACCAGACTCCCTTGAAAAATACAGTAATTTTACATTGCAGAACATTACAGCTGCTGGTCTGCCACTGCCTTGGTCTGTTAGTTTGTTTGTGTTACTGTGTGACTATGTTGTTTTTAAAGGGTTAAAAAAAACTTGATCAATCTCTAAAATGTTATCCCAATTAGTCACACAGAAACAAAAACAAGGGAAAATAAGGTCCACGTTGATACATTCCAAAGTTACCCTTTAAGAAGATTTAGTGTAACAAAATAAATAAATGTTTAGTACCTGATTCCCTGCAGGTTATAAAGATGCAATGACTCAGACAGGTTCCATTCATTCACTTGATCCTTTGACTGAATGTTAACAATTACAAAGAGGAAATCTTCCTCTTAAACAGGTTGTTAGCTGGGTTTTAAACTGTCAGCATTTGAACTTATTTTAACTGCTGTCTGTACTAGCTGTACACATCAGCCACTATAATCATGCCGATGATAATGTCAGACAGACTATGGGCAAGTTGAGCTGAAGTATTCCCAGTGATCTTTCTGCATGTTTGCATTATCTGTGTCTGATCAGACCCTCCAGATGTTGGTAAAATCCCAACAAAGGGGTTTGTTAACATAATACATCCTAAGGGAGGCTCATTGTGATTCTGATAAAATTCTAACCCTTCACAGAGCACACATATGTATGCAGTATCACTTTAAAGACTATGAAAGCGTTTTTTTCTGACCACAGAAACTTGAGATGTAGAAAGTGGTTCCACTTTCTTTGTGTACAGAACCTGGTAAAATTTAACCCTGTCCTATACAAAATTAAAATTCTGTTGTGTAAGGATGTGTAACAAATCTATAAGCATTGCATCTCTTGTTGGCTCTAACAAGATTAATGTGTCTCACACATTACATGTCTGTTTTAAATCCCAGAGCAACTTTGGCAATGAAACAAAAACAGAAAATAATCATTCCAGTCTTTGCATGTTTCAATGGAAAATTTCAAGTAAACATGAAGCCTGTGGGCAAGACAGCTCAGCTACACTAACACAGTATCACCTTCACTTTTTAGCAGTTACTATCCCAGATGTAGTGAGACAATGTGATACTCGATGTTGAAAGCAGAGCTCCCTTTAAAACTACACATAAGCAAACAACATTAGTTATACTTGGATGATCAAATATCTCTAGGCTTAGGAGATTCATATTTCCACAGAATCAAAAATACAACCATAAATACGCTAATGTGAATTCTGAATTAATGACAGTTTTCCCTTTTCCCAAACCCTAATTAAGATAACATTTAAAACCCCTTCAACATTTATCACCACAGTGGACTACACGTCAGATTTGCATTGACAATGTGTGAGCAAATTTAAATTATTACACTTAAATAAAATTAAAGAAAAGCTAGTCTAATAAATTATGATTAATGAAAAAATCTTCAATGTCTTAAAACTGGACTCGGTGCTATACTGTACTTAGTAAATCCCCACAGTGCAGAACCGAAGGGTCCCTGGGGTGTTGCCTTGGGGTCTACCTTCCCCCTAGCTGTGGGCTGATTTCCCAGCAGTGGACAATGGCAAGTCCCTGTGCCAATGGTGTCTTGATATCTCACCATCCTTCAGCTGGTCCCCATCCCTAAGTTTCAGCTCGTCTTCTGTGGTTCAATGTGGAAAGTGGGCCAAACGCCACAAAGAAACTGAACAAAGTTAGGATGAGACAGGACAAATAAATATAAGAATGAATGAATACAATTAAATAAAAGGTATGGGAGTAAGGGCTAGACATACCTTTACTTTTGGTCTGTACTTGAGGTAGGTTGACCTGATCTGCAGGCTAAAAGCAGATGAACATTAGATATGAATGCAAATGAACCTGTCTCACCACAGCTGACTCGTGTTAATTACTTACGGGAGCTTACCTGAGAAGTATGTGCAGGTATGATCCAAGGCCGGTTAAGATGTGCCACCAGGCATGGAACTGTGTAACTACGCCAACACCAGGGGGAAGTCTTTGTCTACTGGCTCTGAGAGACCAAAAAAGTGTTGACCCAACAACAACAAAACAAAAATGCTATCTCCTACAGTATGAGATTCTCCAGAGGAGGGTGCTAATAAATTGTCTAAAAGGTCATTACTTGTGGCTTTACAGGCTTTGACATTACTTTGAGTCTTGTATTGTCCTTGAGATTACAAAAGTACATCACATTAACATTGTGATGTCACATTAAGGTTAATGTCACTGTTGATGTGAACATTTTCCACACCACTGCTGTTGAAAGGAGGATAATTAACTTTGCTCTCAGAATTCCAAAAGTAACTTTGTTGTTGATACATAATAACAAGGCCCTTAGTTTTTTTCCATTACAAATACTCACCTTAATGTGTCACAGAAGATATTGTCGATGTTCCACAGTAGAAACCCTAACATAAAGACTCCTAAGGAGGTGTAACACAGTGGTCTGAGCCATGGGTAAACCCTTGAAACAAAAACAACAATGACAAAAAAGTTGTTACTCCATTGAATATTAATGAACAACACTCATATGATATGTTAGGCTACTGTTTTTAGTCTTCCTGGCAAACTTACCATGTAACAATGAAAACAGATCGCATCACAAGACAAGCGACTAGAGCACCATACATGACCTAGAAGAAGACACAGTTATTGACTTGGCTTTCAAACACAGCAAGGGCTTGAGGGGCAAGACAAATACAACATATGACTACTAACTAATTACATATTTTATCAAGTCACCAGAGTGTTTCCATTGCTGAATTCCAGGAAGCCTCAATCTCAAGCTGTACATTGATTAATGCAAATATAGCCATAGTATTCTAGCATAGCTTTCCCAATAGAAGCAAAGTTGACAAATTTTCTTCCATCCAACAATGTTTTCCTTGAGTGTAGTGTGCATTTAAGGCGAGTGACCACAGTAAGTGCTCTTACTAGCGCTAAAGACGTTGAGTCATTTTACAGAATAAAATATTTTAACTTTAAAGTGTTTCCCTTTAAAGGTTCAGTGTGTTTTAGTGACATCTAGTGGTGAGGGTTGCGAGTTGCACCCCCCCTCCCCTATCCAAAGCTGTATTCCGAACTGCCTACTACATACTACTGGCAACCGCAGTATGCAGTATGTACTGTATACTGCATACTGTATAAGGTATAGTATGTAGTATGAAACTGTTAAATAGATTTATTTTGCAGCATGCTACGCCAGGCTTTGCTAGTTTCCGGTTTTCAAAATCGGAACAATAAGAGGACGCTTAAAACGTATTCTTCTTTTAAATCTTATATATGAGAACAAGACTGCAGCCGAGCTGTAGCAGATGTTTGCTTCAGTATATTGGTGCATAAATAAGAATTATATAAAATAAATGCAAATAAAAAGCAAGTACTATAACCACAACTGTAACATTACACTAACAATGTAATGTCTATTTAGAATAATGATAATAATAAAGCGCCAAAAGTCCCCTTTTATTCCACTATTGTTTATTTTTTTTTATCAAAGTGCTTCTACCTTACACAAGCCAGATGTCTCTTGATTTAAGTTAAAACGTTACAACATTAATCAGAATGTAAAGACAGAATAACAGCGGTATGAACATTTAAACTGTCCCACAGCTGCGAGTCTTTACTCTCACGTTGCTGCTGGACACATTTTCCCGAATCAGTACGCCATCCAGGCATTTTTGGCATACTGTAGATTTTGCTTTTGTTTGCATACTGCATACTACATACTACATTTGGGCTAAATCAGTACATACTACTAGTATGGTAGGCGGTTTCAAAGTATTCATCATTGGTCACTTGATAGGCACATGGTCTTGTTATATATCACCATTAGCAAACATTACATGTTTTCCATCTGAGAAACATGTCTCAGCTAACAGCTAAAGCTATCAAACAACAGCTTTCTTTTGCATCGCAAAAGTCTGACAAACGTATTTACCTGTCCAGCAGAAAACAGACAGCTTCAGCTCCGCTTTGAAAACATCTGTCCCACATTATAGTCTTCCATCTGGGAAAATCCACAACATCCGTGATTTCTGCCGTCAGCTGTTTGTATCTATCCCGACTCGTCTGGCTTCATGGTATAAAGATCCACAAGCTGTCGGTTCTCGTGCTAAATAACACGTGTGCTCCTTCATTTGTCCAAATGTCACTTCTCTTCTAATAAACCAGAAGACTATCAGAGACTGTGTATTACTATTATTATTACTTTGTACATATTCAATGTAGTGACGGCCGTTTACATTACCGGAATTATACAAGCAGAAGAAGAAAGCCGTGAAGACAAAACGCACTCTGTGGCGCTGTTTGTCCGTTGTCGGCTACGGTAGAAACATGACGACAAAATACAGCGACCTCCATAGAAGGGGGTGCCCGCGGTTTTGTAGATAAAAATGGCTCATTCTAAGGTAATAAAAACATAACGGTTCCTTATGTAAGGTCTTTATACACCACAGAAAACACAGTTATGGATATTATATCGCATCTCTGTCAATAGATCCTCAGAAATATTACACACTGAACCTTTAAATAAATAAAAACATTTCCACCATAAATTTAGGCAGAAAAATTCACCGGAATGCAGGAAATTAACTGTTTGATGCTCAAAATATTCATTTAATTCAGCATTTAAGATTTCTAAAAACAGTGTTAACGGTAGTTGTTGTCTCAGTCTCGTGAACCCAATATCATGTCTCCTCTCATCTTGTGAGTGTCACACCCCTACTATTCATCTTTTATTAGAATTATTAACAGTTCTCCTCTGGTTAATCAGCAAATTGATAAAGTAGCATTAATTATATGATTTATAATTTAGCAATTCAGTCCAAATCAGTGTTTCCCAACCTGGGGACGGGGATCACCAGATTAAAAGACTACACAAAAAAAAGTCTCTGTCACACAATTAAATTCAACTTTTCTGAATCACCTGGCCTGGTCAGTTTTTTTGCATTTTCCTTGATAATCAAGCAAGTAGACTCATAGTACATAGTATTTGTTCAATTACATTCAAAGAAAGCCAAAAAGTTTAGGAACCTCTGTGTTTGATTACAGTAAGCGTACAAGTGTATATCTGTTGCTTTGCTACATTCCTCAAATCCACCAAAGTATGCAAACCAACACAAAGGGCTACATGAATTCAGTACAATCTATTTGAGGAAGTAGAAAACTACTCGTACACAAAGTCGCCATTTGAACCTAAGTCTATGTAAATCTATTTCACCGTGCTCCAACATTATCAGTCTTGTAATGAACCACCATAGAGCTGTGTGATCAGTTAGCAGAGTCAGCTGCAAAGAGTAAACAAAGGCAGCTTTTTCACATTTTCCTTACTGTTGTCAAGCAACACACACACACACACACACACCCACACACACACACACAAAGTGGGACTCTAACCAGGCACAGTTACTATAACAGAAGAGGCTGTGCTTGACTTTAAATGTGCATGTGGTTATTGTATATGTTTAGGGTTACAGAGATTCTTCTTGGCAACAAACGTTAACTGTGGTTTGAGCCCATAGTTAAGGATTTAGTGCTGAGTTTAGGGCTTGGTATCTGTGTTTTTTTTTATGCTACACTTTAATAAACACTTAACGGAGCATCAAGCAGTTAGTTTACATTAAAGGAATTTTACATATCTGCTTTGATATGAAATGCTATTTTATGTTTAACAACGGGCATTCCGCATAATGTGTGTTGCATTCTGTGTTTACACAAGGTAAGAATGACTAAAGGCAAACTGAGCCCTAATAGCAAACAATGAGTAATATGAGCCAGGTCAGCATAACCCAGAGCACGCCCTTACCTGGTGAAAGACTGGCTCCTTCCACAGTAAGTATACCTGCAAAAATAAATACAGAAACTACTCAAGGCGGTATGGGGGTATTATGCGTCATTTACAATAGGGTATACATGTAAATGTTCACCATTATAGTGAACGTGCATACTCACCACAGTGACTGAGATGCTGAAGATTAATAATAATGCAATAGGAAATAAGCTGATGCTGTTCTCTTGTTTGAAGCACTCATATCTGCAGAATAAATAAATGTGTTTATCTTACATGTTCAGCTTAAATAACTATAAAGAATAAAGAGAAACACAAGGTTAAGACACGTGGTGCTGCGAACAACCACATGGCATGGCCACCACAGGTGATCTTAAAGAGTGCCCACGTCAGACGCCACGTGGGGTAAGTCCCTGTACGTCTGAAATCTGAAGTGTGGAGAGATCGTCTCCACATAAAAGAGAACAAGCTGATCTAAAGAAGAATGAGATACTCTAGTCCAGTTAAGAATCAATAGTTCCATTACATACAGTGCACTCTACAGCCACAAGAAGATATCACACTGTACTTTTGTGGATGGATCAAGTGTTCAATTAGGGGTTGACTGGTTTATTTTACAGCCACAATCACGCTAAATATGTTCTCACTGGCCATCAGTCTTAAGTGCATCAACAGCAATAAATCCAAAGTTTGAGCCACTTACAGACAGTAGACAAAGACACATGTACTGTAAATCATTGGTAACTCGTCCAGTAACTGCAAATGAAAATACAGAGAAAACAAATATAGGATTACATTGTTTCAGCATAATTTAGCATCACACGAGGCAGTGCCTGACCTCATATTTCAATTACAAATAATTTCATTCATGCCATTTTAGCAACAAATTGAGATTATTGGGGAAAAAAGATACCCTATCATTATTATGTGTGTACACTTTTTGCTGAAATACTGAGATTTCAATGTAACACTGTAGCCCACCTGCATCTCATATAGCAGCGTCATGTGAAAGCACCAGGAACCGACACCAACAGCTGGGCGACGCACAGACAACCACACGAAATATTAAAAATGAAAGTCAGGACATTTTCACGTGTTCACAACATGACTGATGGTATCAGCAGTTAACACTGTACAACCGGTAAGGCTGTTAAAAACGATGTGTAAATAAGATTGTGTTTGCTACAGTGTTGCCACTAATGAACTATAGAGCCAGGAAATTTATGGCTTCAACAGACTAACCTGCCAGTCCGAGGAAAGAGCAGATGTAGCGAAACTCAAGGCCGTCACGAAATGTCTGGATGGCCCCACAAATTGGAGGAAGAATCATAATCAGGTTGCTGACAGTGTTCCCTGTTAAAAAAGACAACAGAGACAAATTACAACCTGATGACATGACCTGTGTGATATGTGAAGACCTCCAAAGGCCTCTGAGATTGGGTGGCATGACGGCAGCGAGAGTTCAGCCAGACAGCCTGGGTTACATATTATGGTCGTTATAATAACAGCATGAATGGTTTCTTATTACAGAAACCTGATCACTGCAAGGAGTTCACGCACACCCTTCTGCTGCTATGTTCACTGCCACCACACGTGAATTTTCTATTGTATTACCTGAATATTACACAGGAATTCACAGCACTGAAATACTTGAATTACTGTGCAACCGTGATTTTAACTAGTAGTATATAACAGTAGTATATGGTAGTATTTGGGTTTATAATTACACATACAGGTAACAGATAAACAGGCGGATAGTAAATAATGGATGGACAGCAGTGTTACTTTTCAATAGTTCTTAGAGCCATAGGTGTCATTTACACTGGGGTCATGTCCCCACCACTTTTTGAAATGGCTGATTTTGTCCCCACCACTTTTTGAAGTATTTGTTAAATTGGTACTGATCAATTGCTTGCAACAAGAAATGTTAAGTAACAAATGTGAATTCTTTTAGAAAGGTTTATTTGCACAATAAGAAACATGCAATACAATTTAAATATAGAAGAAACAAGTGTGCATTGTCCAAGAAAGTAACTTAAGCTGAAAAAAATTAAGTTTCTGATTACTACTAATTATATTACTTTATATTTATATATTTTGTATTGTCACCTTACACCTGAATTTTGCATTTCCCTTTATATATATATAAGACATTTTAATCATAAATTGGTCCGGAAAATGTCTCTAGAATGCAGGAAATTAAGTGTTTAATGCTCAAAATCTTCTGGGGGAGGACCCCCAGATCCCCAAATCATATATCACAGTAGAGAATATTTATTCTAATATCTTCTATGTTTCGGGAGCAAGTGTATCACTGCACCCCTAATCTGAGCCCTTAAATTACCCCACCACATTTCAGCACAAAGTGACACCCTTGCTTAGAGCTGCAATGATGAGTCAATTAATTAAATTACTGACACAAAATGAATCAGCAACTATTTAAAGTTGCGTGGGCGATGTCGGAAAACTAGCAAGAGACACCAAAGTAACCAACTGAAAAAATCCCACCCCCCCCCTCAGGCCTCCCTCCAAAGTCACTCCGCTAAAACACATTTTCATGCGCAGTGCGTGCACGGGCAGAGAGCGTGCAGGTAAGTAGGCCAGCAAATCATTTCTTTCGGACTGAGAGAAAAATGCTTCTGAACTAAATTGCCTACCCCAGCTTAAGTCATTTTTCAAGAATGACATTTTTATGTGAATATTATTGGGTTTTGGACTATTGGTTGGACATAAGACATTTGATGAAGTCACCCTGGGCTCCTGGATATTGTGATGGGCATAGTTCACTCTTTTCTAAACCTCCCTCCCACAGGCCATTGCTGTGTACTTACCAGTTATTATCAGGCCCACAGGGTACCTGATAAAACAGAGCTCAGCAGTGATCCTAACGTTGCCTTTTCTAGATGTGGTGATGTACAAACTGTGCTGTGGAAACATTTAGATTTACCAGCACATTAAGTAGTTAAAAAAATTATACTGCTTTTTCATAACCAACATGACACTTATGCCTTTATCAAGGCATAGTGACCATTTTAAAATGTGTGGACTTGTACTGATAATAAATGCATCACACGGCAAGAATATTACAGCATTGGAGTCTTGTATTTTTCCCATTTCAGCAACATGGCAAACATCTGAATGTGATGAGACACCTGACCCTTTTTGTGGGACACTCTTTATAGTCTTCTGCTGTCACCACGTGCTGGGGTTTTAAAAAGAAAGATAATGCACAAAAGCACTCATCAAAATGGGGATTAAAATCATGCCAGTGTCTCTTTTCCATATATACAATGCCACATTCCAGCCATTGTAACATGAATCACCAACAACTATCAAGCCAGGCCAGCGTGTCGTTTGTGCAAACAAAGCTTAAACTTTTAGTGTCCTTGACATGCTGAATTTAAACCAATGCCAATGTTACAGTATGAATACAGAAAGCAGAATACAGAAGGACTAAAACATGTACTCCACAATTACAGTGGCTTAAAGGACTAATTTGAGGACATTACAACGTGTTTAGCACCACAAAGGCGTGGACAACATATAGAGATAAAGAGAAGCAGTAAACTCTGACCCACTTGGCCTGAGTTTAACTTTCCTTGTAAGTAACTGTTGCATCACTTAATATCTTGAGCACCATTGGCGGCATGACAATAACCTAAATTGTGCTCCATAGAGTTTACTTTCCATTATACAATGAAACATAAAAGAATGTGTAGGGTGTATGAATCACAGCTGAAAGAGGACTGGAGGACTGTCTTTTAATATATAACATTTGCCTTGTTCACCTTCAAAAATGCCTCTATAATACCTAACTTTGAAATATTGTGTCCCTCCCTATCATTGATACTAAACCTACGCCCTAGTTTAAATCTAAGATAAAGACCAGTTTTTATCATAAGACACAGCAATGACGCGACCTGATAGCGTGGAGAAAATATGTTATCACGTTACAAGCGGTGCCGTGAATGACTTGAGTTATGCACCTTGTGAAGTGAAACAGGCAAGACCACGTTCCAGAGTCGACTTGATACAAATAAGTTAATGTAATTAGTGGTAATGTGCAATAATGTTAAACTGGGTTGTGTCTATGATAACGTAACTAGCTGACACATAACGTTACTGCTGGTATAATAACCTAGAGTGAAGCTAACGTTAGGCTGCATGTAAAACAGCTCAAGAGCTCGACACCTTTTCCTTTTCCTCTTTTGTTCTGTTTGCTTGGTTAAATGCCGTGTTAGCTAACATGCAGTTTACACTAGGGCATTCATGAAAGCAGAGCTAACACAATAACACAAACGACTTTACTAAATGCTTTTTACACCCGCTGCTGCTTCTTCTTGTTTACGTTATTCAGGGGCGACTGTACACAATGGCGGTCTTCCCCAGAAGTCTCCTTAAACGCACCACAAATTCACATTTTTATTTAGTGTAAATGACGCCGTTCTATTTTACTTACAAAATTCAGCGATGTAAAAAGAGACGACATAATTTTCTTCACACCAGTCCAGCGTTGAGGTCGGCCGCCCCCAGTATCCTTGCCTGTCTGCCGAGGGAGCCATGATGGAAGAGGAGGAGGCTGTGGGGTACTAACGGATTTGTAGTCCCATCACAGCACGTGCACTCCTCCTCCTCCTCCTCCTCCTCAGGAGCGACGGAAAGGCAGAAAAGAAAGTCCAGTCCAACTGTACAGAGATAGTACAGCACAGTGTTAGCACCAAGTAAATAAATACATTATACTTCGTGATGAATTTGTAAATTGTTCTCCTTGGTTCGGGTTCTTACACAGAAAAATTAAGCGAATAATAACCGAATGCACTCGAGGAAAGCCCTTGAAAAATAGGCTACTGTAGCCTATTGCAACACACTTTACAAAGACGTGCTGTATTCAGACTGTACAGTTCAAGAGAATTTTAATTGATTAAAGCACTCACTTGACTCATAGAAATGACTTGCAATATAAATATCTTGAATTCACAATAATAAAGCAATCCTAACAAATACTTGGGACACCGTCTGATTTTTTTTTCATTCTAAGCATTTTACCAACTATTGTGTTTTACGAATAACACACGAATAAACTGATATAAATCTGTTACTCCTATGTTACAGTGGTTACCATCTGTATTACACCTCACTGTTCTGTGTAAATCCAGATTTCCTCTAGGTGGCGTGCTATACTCATTGAAAAGGGTCCCAGAACACCGACACAATGACAATACAAAATACTGTCATGTGTTTTCTCAGCCAATTCAGTTCTACCAGGAGGTTGCACATACTCTCGCTGGAATGCTCATGTCATCTGGGAACTCCCACTGGAGCCCTGACTCCCAAGGCTAAAAACTGCTATTGCAAACAGACATTCTTGCACATAAGGGAAAATGCCAGCACTAAATGCAAAATTAAGCTGATACTTGTTTGTTTTTTTTACACTTTTATTGCAAAAACTCCCCAGAAATTTGTAACAGTCTAAAACCATTGATATTTTGATATTGTCAAACCACGTGTTATTGTTACAGAGATAATTCTTGTTAAATCAGACATAATTTGGTTTGTTTGCCAGTGTAGACCAGTGCATTCAGATCCTTGGACTTATAAAAACACATTTTGTTAAATTAAACAGCAAGCACCACAAAATCTTTCTAAAAGTTAAATTATTGAACACCATAAGGCTTACAACAGAAACCCTTTTGCGCTGACATATACTAATCCTAATGTTTCACAGGTATGCTCCTCCTCCATTAAAGTAAAACTGTGTATTTACATTTTAGGCATCAATCAGGGAAATCATACTTAATGTAAGTCCTCAGTCCGTAATGTGATCTGCCGATACATGACAAAAAAAGCCACATAGTGATATCAATTATTCTTCAAAATAAAAATCAAGGGTGTGCACAGTGTTTGCTGACTAAAACACAGGACAAACACATCTCTTCTGTCATGTATTGTGGAATGCTGCTGGCACGTGATGTAAAGGAATGCACTTGAGCAATATCAAACCGTACATCTCATTTACTAATACTCTCAGCATATTGCAGGAGAAAATATACACTCAAACACACAACCAGGCATTTAACTTAGACACTCTGGTGAACATGTGGTTACAATTCATCTCTCATCTTTTCGCCCTTTGGCCTGACCATCCTGCCAATGAACAGGATGGAGTTTGTCTTCTGGTCCTTCACTAGGAAGATGAAAGGGTGGTCAGCGTAGAACAGTTTAGGGTTTTTCAGCTTGTCAGTGCCAAAGACGCTGGTGTCAATTTCATTTCCATCAGTGTCCCATTCCATTGCAGAGGCGTGAAAGACGCTCGACAGGTAGAGGTCCTTCTTCCCAGAGATGTTGGACAAGTCGGCCTTGGATTTGTCCACAGCCTCCGTCAGGCCCAACTCCCCGAGGTGTTTCTAAATGGGAGCAGAGCATTAAGGAGTAATTCAGATGATATAAATAAGGAGCTGAGGCAGAAGTTAAGACTGAGGTGTTGTCATTTGTAGTCTCCTGCATCTTTTACCTGCAGGTCGTGACTGACTTCCATGCTGACTTTGGGCAGAGACACGGCTACTGCTGTCTGCTGCAGCTTGCCCATCCACGTATCCAGCTGCTTCTTGGTCAGCATCTTCTCAAGTCTCTCCAGAGGTTCCACATGGTAGGGCATGATGAACACCACAGTGGACTTCTTATGAGCCAGAGGCATGCTCAGGATGGACACTTTATTGGTTTTGTCATCATAGAAGTCATAGAGACCTGAGGAAAGAAATTAAAGGTATTGCAAATCAGTGAACCATTTGCTGTTTTATATACTGACTCTTTCTCTTTGCCCTGTATGTTTATTGCATTGCTGTTACAGATATTGTATTACAGATAAAATTTAGTATTGCATGTACACCTACATGCAACCAACACAGGGCATGAATAGGAGTGCATTAAAAGCTGTTAGGGAGGAGTTCTTGTTTCTATGACCAACATCTGCTGCAAATTTTAAGTAACATTTTGGGAAATACTGGGAAATACAGAGTTAGATGAGAAGATTGATACCCCTGTCTGTGCATTAAGAAAGCTACAGCCAGCAGCTGGTTAGCTGAGATTTACATTTAGAATGTTAATGAGGGGAAACAGCTTGCCTGGCTCTGTCCGATGATAAAAAAAACATGCCTACCAGCAAGTTTACAGCTAGGGATTATGGAAAAGGGTGCATGTTGTAAATAAGTAGTGATGTCAGACGCAGGTTGTTTTTATTCTTAATCATATATCTCAAAACAGGACAGTCTCCACCTACCTGTGCGATGCATCATCTGTACTGAAACAGTGTAGCTACGGGAGACCATGAATCCACGGTCGTCCACCATCTTATGATGGAACTGCTCATCCCAGTGAGCTGCAAGATAAAAAAAAAATCAGTTAATTTTGAGCATTTGAAAGAGTAATACTGCACATATCCAGGTTTATTCAGACTCACGTTTGAAAAACATAGCGTTGATGATCATTGCCCCATCAGTCTTTTCTACATCCTTGGTGACCTCGGGCAGTTTGCCATCAGTAGACTTGGCCGCCCACTCGTTGATGGAGTTCACAGCACTCTTCTTATCTCTGAAGTTTATCTTAGAGTGGTCACAGTTATAGTGCTTTTTGCTGCTCTTGACAAAATCATCCACAAAGGTGACAGAGCTGGGTCCATACAGGCGGTTGCTAATCTTCCAGGTGACATTGCGGGTCTTCGGGTCGCTCACCTCAGTCAGGAGCTCAGCCAGACCAGAGTGCAGCTGTTCATCTTTAACTTTGGCTGCATTCAGAATTGTTTTTACCTGAGAGGCAGTGGATGCTTTGCCCCCAAGAGCCACAAGACCCAGAGAGGAGGCCACTACCACAGGGGAAATGAGGATGTTTTCAACATTTTTTTCCTTAGCCATGTTTTGGTACAGACTGAAAGCCAAGTTTGCGCTGTTGTCAGCCAGGATGGTGGCGTGGTTACTCAGGACTTTGTCTGCTGAAGCCGAGGTGGCAGCTGAGGCTGAAGTGGCCAGGAGGACCAAGGCTACCAAGTTTATCACCCACATGGTGTAATGCTAATCAGAGAAAACCTGTGAGAAGACATGAAGACAAACATCAGTCATTAATATAATCTGCTGACCTACGAAGAGAGACCAAATCATGTCTGGATTGATGTTTGTTCACTTTCAACTTAAAATATCTTGTTTACCGTACTTTTCCAAACTCAGGAAGGCCATTTTGTTATTTAGGGTTTACTCTGCATATTCTGCAGAAAGATAATAGCAGGGGGAGCAGGGTTAACCAATGCCATTCAGATTAAATCTCTCCCAGTAGACCTCAAGGCAAGACTCAAGGCAAGACTTACATAACAGCCACGTAGGCAGCTGCAGGATGCATCTAAGACAAAACATTGGCCATTCTTATAGGTCTGAGTTCTGCATGTTTTGGCAGCACAAAAGATTTAAGATTACTAAAATTCTCTACAGAGGAATGAGTCTGGTGGATGCTGATTCGTTCTTTGTGGTGTGGAAAAAGAACCACGTGCTGACACACACACAACCAATGGAGGTATTTATTCCAGTCCACGTATGTAGAGCGGATGTGTGCTTTCAGAAGAGGTCTTGTGCATAGTCACAGAAGTTTCAGCCTCTAAATAAAATCCATGAAGGAAACCACAATCTACCTAAGAGAAAAAAGATGTTATACAACACAAATCTCTTTTCAGCAGCTTTCTAGACATGTTTTTACTGGCTCACACAGGCCCACAGAGAGAGATAGAAAAATATCTGACCTCAGTATGAGAGAGATCCTTATTAAAATGCTAAAAGTTGAGATCTACTTTAGTGGTATTTGAATTAGTACTTTTCTGTGTTGCTAGCACATTTAGAACGGAATAAATAAGAATGAATACATTTATTAAATGCTGACGATGAAATCTCAATAGCACTTGAAAAGTAACACTGCATCTGACATTCAGAAATCATGATGTTTCCTTAAACGACCCAGTGACGAACATTGGTATATTTGGTTTGTATGTATTTTTATTCATGTTCTTCAGGACGGCAGATCCTTACCGGCTTCATAACGTTTTGACCACTCCCATTATGTAAGCCATTAATTTTGAGTCTGTCCCATTCAAAAATTTCATCTTTGTGACTTAGTATGAATGAATGATGAGAAATTCTGTGTACTTTTAATGCACTTGAGACACTGTGTATGCATATATCATCATTAAATGAATGTGTTTTGGAAACATTATGTTATTGGCAGTGTGATATGTAGACAAATGAAAGAGAGATGTCCCATGTCGCAGATGCAATCAGGTCAAAGTCTCAAACATACTTTTACATTTACCTCTACTTTTTAATCTCTTTTTAAAACCTCTCCAAGAACTTGTGGGAACCCACTGCTTAATTCACAATGGAGTCTTCAGGCTCATATCACAGATCTGACTTTGTGGCCTCTTTTCACATGCCTGGGCATTTCCCACCAGTTGAACACTGCCCTGATACTCCCCCCCCCCCCCCTCAAATACGTGTCTTACCTTATTAGGCTCTTTCAGTAAATCAGCAGGTCTTCCTCAAGTTGCTTGCAAACAGATCACAGCCCCTATCTGCTCTACGTGAAGTTAATGTGTTTAATGGTCGGAAACTGAATTGTATGAGACAGTTGCAGAAGTTGTCATGCCCGGTTTTCAGTGCATGAAAATCTCTGCACTGGAATCTTATTTCTAGGCCGGTCCCGCCCATATGCAGGGGCAGTGGGAAGAGAATCCTCCCCCTCCAGGTCCTAAAGCCGGGACCTGTAGCCCAGCTGGAGCACTGAGATGCCTAAAACCCAGTGATCCATAAAAAGCTACCTCTCATTACTTACTGATTATGGTTATACTGAAAGACTGTTAGTATCCAATACAGTTTCATCAGTATTTTCTCTGCTCATCCATACAATAAAGTACAGAGTTGTATTTGTGATGCACAAGGTAAAGGTGGTGTTTCCGTTTGTTATGATGTATTTTGTGGACATGTTTTGTTTGTGTATACATGAAATACAGCCCAACGTGGCGGTATCTTGGTGGTACACATGCTTTTAAATTCCAGTTTTATGGTAGCTTCACTACTGCAACTGATCAAGGCAAAAGAAAAGATTCTGGGGAAAATTCATGGTACTCCTACTTTTTTGTATTTAGTTTAAGTAGTGTAAATTAATGATTTTTATTGTTTGTTTTGATTGCCTTTTTTCTTTCCTCCCCCTCCCTGTAATTGCACCTCTGCAATCCAGCTCTGAGAAACTAGAGGGGGTAGCTGAGGTCCTGTTTAAAGTTAGTGAATTAACTAAATGCACAAGCTTTAAGGAGTATCCCTGAAGAGCCTCAAATGGAATTCTAATTTCTATTTTGGCAACAACATGGATGCAGAAAGTCATTGCTGTAGCTTCACTTCCCATTCAGTAATGTGCTGAGATTTCTTTTCTTGGACTTACTGTTAAAATGTATAGTGTTGTTGGTTGTTGTTTTCTTTGTCTTATAGCAATGGTGGCTTTACAGTAGCTCTACTTGCTAAGCTATCCTGTCTTCTTGTTTTTATTTCAAACTAAATTATGGAAGGCATAATTTCCTGCAACTAAACAGTCTTTTTCCAGGAAAGACTAGAACATACATGTATTAAACAGCAACAAAGAAACAAAACATTTACTAATTTGAACATTTTCTGGTGATCAGTCATCATTGTGAAATCATATCAAAATTAACTCTGACCCAGTATAATTTTGCACACTCACCATGTTAAAGAGGCACTCCAGTGATTTAGTTTTGCACTTCTACAAAGTTGGAGGACTTGCAAGAGACGTATTTACAAAAGAATGGTCAAAAATCAAAACAGCAGAGGCAGAGACATCCTGGCTTTTATCCCCTAGTATGAGCCAAGCTTCAAAAACACTGGATCTTACAATTCCCAAAATGCAACTCAAAAGCTTCTTTTATGAGACCATCCCTGCCTCTTTCATGCCCTCGTCTTTCAAAGTTCATGCCTCAGTTCATAATTCTCAGCACGTCTCAGGCCTGATGACTTTGCCGCGGTTATTTACTCAGACTTAAGAAATGAGAAAGGCATTGTACAGCTGTTTTTAAACCAGAGACCTCTGTAGGGAAATCAGGTTACATTATGTTAGCTGCACAGCCATACCACTGGTGGAACGCACAAACAGGATGTTACCAGTCCATTTAACAATAACATGAATGAGACATAACCTCAAGCCACATGTCTGAACCTCAGCGTTAGGGGTGATTGTGTCAGACAAGTGGATTGGCCAGATTAAGCACCCCACTAACACAAATGTGGTGAATTTAGCAGCCACATGTTCATTAAACCTGCAGAGGCGGTATGCTTTTTGTTGCCAGTGAACACTTTAGAGAGATTAGAGAGGCAGACATGATCTGGTCTAGTTTCTCCCCGATTCTTCCTGGTAACTCTATCAGTCCCCTTATTGTCTGTGGGAGCTTGATTCTAGCTCTCCACAACAAAAGAGGGCAACAAAGGAAAGCTTGGTAATCAGTAACTTTGGCAGATATGTTCAGTATTATAGAAACATTTTTAAATGCATGATTAAAAATCAGTACAGTCCTTGGTGTGAAGGGAGTAGGAAACTGAATGCTCTGGATGCATTTTTTCCCATGAATGCATGCTTCTCTTCTTGCTGGTCTTATCCTCCCCCTGCTTGGGAGTTGCTCTGTGTTTGGAAGTGGATCAGGCAGCAGGAAGTTACAGAAGAAGCGGATGTATGTCCGGTGTAAAACTGCCCCTGTTATTATATCTATACAGCTGTCATTAGGTCTGGATGGAAAAACATTCATAAATGCATCCAGAACATATTATCTGACATACAAAGAATTATGAATTTAATTTATTAAAGCAGGAAAAGTGTATCATTTTGTTGTGTCTTTCTGCCATTACTGTCTCACAATAGGCAGGAGATAAAGAAACGGATTTCTTGAGCAGTTAATCTGAATAATTCATCTGACTGTGTTTGTTTTTCTGTAACATAATGATTAGCAAATCCTAAATTCAAAATCTATGACCAGTGATTTTAATTCACTGTTGCAATATTTACAACTACATAACTAGCTATCATCTTACCCATTTCTGTGCTGCTCCAGTTGTATTTCTATGACATGACAAATCCAGATATGATAAGATACAATAGTTCAGACTTAAACATATTAATTGCAGGTTTAATTTTGTTTCTTACTTTGCACAGAACAACTAGAACCATTTTAGCAATGTATGTCCTGTCCCTATCATATTTGGTGAGATTTACTTCTGTGTTTCTTGTTTCTTTTCACTGTGAACAGTTCGATGATACAGTAACATCAAAACAATAATCTTTAAATTATTGTTATATAATACAAACAACCCAAACCCATCCCCACACCTCCGTTTCTCTCAGTAAATCATGGCTATAGTGTTCATATATAATGAGTTTATCAAGAGCGCCGAGGTGACTAAACATACATTTTACTGGTACGTATAAAGCTGTAACAGATATGATGGGGCATGTAGCTGGAAATCTAGCACTGGGATCCATTCTAGGGCCACAGTCTATAAAAAGGGAATAAACGCTCACCTGAGCTTTTCTTTCCTGCACTGAAACACACCTTTTCAATTCAGTTAAATTCTAATTCAGTTTTATTTACATGGCGTCAAATCACAACAACAACAAAAACATCTCATAGCGCTTTTCATAAAAGAGCAGGTCTAGGCCTTTTACAAAAACCCAACAATTCCCACCAAGAGCAGCACTAGGCGACAGAGGCAAGGTAAAAAAAAAAATATATTTTAAGAGGCAGAAACCTCGAGCAGAATCATGGCTCAGGGTAGGCTGCCATCTGCCTCGACTGGTTGGGGGTGAGAGAAAGAGAGAGAGAGGGAGAGAGAGAGTTAGCCATAAAGAGGGAGACAAGGATGGGAGGGGGCTCAGTGCATCATAGGAAATCCCCCGGCAGTCTAGGCCTATAGCAGCATAACTAAGGGATGGTTCAGGACTACCTGAGCCAGCCCTAACTATAAGCTTTATCAAAGAGGAAAGTCTTAAGCCTACTCTTAAATGTGGAGATGGTGTCTGCCACCTGAACCCAAACTGGAACCTGGTTCCACAGGAGAGGAGCTTGATAGCTGAACGCTCTGGCTCCTAGTCTACTTTTGGAGACTCTAGGAACCACAAGTAACCCTGCATTCTGGGAGCGCAGTGCTCTGGTGGGGTAGTAAGGTACTATGAGCTCTTTAAGATAAGATGGTGCCTGACCATTAAGAGCTTTGTAGGTAAGAAGCATGATTTTAAATTCTATTCTGGATTTTACTGGAAGCCAGTGCAGAGAAGCTAAAACAGGAGAAATATGATCTCTTTTCCTGGTTCCTGTCAGAACACGTGCTGCAGCATTCTGGATCAGCTGAAGAGTCTTAATGGACTTTTTCGAGCAGCCTGATAATAAGGAATTGCAGTAATCCAGCCTAGAAGTAACAAATGCATGGACTAGTTTTTCTGCATCATTTTTAGACAGGATGTTCCTGATTTTCGCAATATTACGTAGGTGAAAAAAGGCTTGAAATTTGCTTAATGTGGGAGTTAAAGGACATGTCCTGATAAAAGATAACTCCAAGATTCCTCACAGTGGTGCTGGAGGCCGGGGCGATGCCATCCAGGGAAACTATATCTTTAGATAATGCCTCACGGGGGTGCTTAGGCCCCAGAACAATAACTTCAGTTTTATCTGAGTTTAACATTAGAAAATTACAGGTCATCCAGGTTTTAACATCCTGAAGGCACATTTGAAGTTTAGCTAACTGATGAGTTTCATCTGGTTTGATCGATAGATATAACTGACAAGTCCTTTGACTGATGCAATAAGGAGGTCATTAGTAATTTTCTTCAGTGCTGTCTCTGTGCTATGATGAACTAAATCCTGACTGAAAATCCTCAAAGTAACTATTGCTATGTAGAAAGTCAACAACTCTCTGGGTGTTGTTTACACAGCAGCACTACAATACCCAGATTGACAGTTGCATTTATAGGATCACATGTTTTGCTCATAACAAAAAAGAGCCAGAAGTGACCAACAATACAGTGGGTACAGGTGCCCTCTGCAGGCTGAAACGCTGAGTCTCAGCTGTGCAGTGGCTATACTTCCCATGACCACTAGAGGCAGACAAAGAGCTAACAACTAAAACTGGAGGCAAAATAGCAGTCTGGTTTAATACTGTTATTAGTGCCACTGGTAGGTTACTATCACCACCACCAATACCTTTGTTATCATCATCATACCTGGAAGGAATGATATTATTTTAGTTACACTGTGATTAGTTGAATTACAGGTTGCCTACAAATTTAAACACATAAAGCAGATTTAGAATGACCCTTAGGTTTCACTAAAATGCCTCTCCTGACATGTTTCCACTCCTGACATTTATCTTTTCCACACAGGACCAGCATGCATTTCATCTCTAAGAGACAGGACTGCCACTTCCACTGCTAAATTGTTTGGGACTAAAAGGATCTGACGTAATTATCCCAAGCCAAGGGTTAATCTCTGACTGCTGGGCCTGGAATAGATCTCTTACAAGACGTTACTCATCTGCTCTATCTCTTTGCCAGGTGTTATTAACACGCAGTCTCCCGGCTCTTGTACAGTGATGTACAACTGAGTGTTACATCATTTTTACTACAGTCAATTAAAATGTCTAAATAGTCTACTGGCACTAAAGTGAAGAGAAGTGCACAGCATCCTCATGTTCAAACCCCATTGTGATCAACACATTTAAAAATCCGTGCTTTTCTATATGTTGAGAGCATTTTTCTGACCACTTAGGCTGATGAAAACCTTTCAAAGGGACTGGATGGTGTCAGAAATATTATGTCAACCCGGTTAATGCAAGATTGTTTTTTCCTTATAGCTTTCTGGAGATAAGGAGATTTCACCAGGAGAATTGAATTTAACTTTGTATAAGGAGACAACCAGGCTCGGAAAAACAGTCAAATGAAATTTAAAAATGAAAGTTAATCCTTATAATAATTTTTGGAGCTCCCAGTCTATCTTACAAATCAGAGTGGCTATAAAATAGTAGGCATCCATGAAAAAAAACAAAAAAAACCAATCTGATTTGTGAGATCTCTTTCCCAATTTCTGCAGCATACACATCATCTGTTCTTTTAGTTTGCGTTTGTTCACAGTGTGGTACACCATCAACCCTTTCCAAAGCTCTTCACCTCCTCCCTTGTAGTTCTACTTAGTAAATTCCAGGAAAGACGAACATTTCCTAGAGATGCCAGCGCTTGGCAACTTCAGCCTCCCCACAGAGAAGTTTAATGAAATTATTTCTCTCTTATCCCCCTTTGATCTCTCCCTCCTGACATCCCCACCCACATTTAAAACCTGCAACATACTGGATTTACCCTCTCATTACACTGCTCAATATGAGAAAAATGTGTCCTCCCTGTCTAACAAGTCCATCAGATGTCTAAAACCTTCAAAATGGAACAATCAAGGCTGGAGACAGCCAACAGGAAGAGGTACAAATCTCAGCTCACTCCAGATCATTTCTCATTTGTGTCCTCCTCTGTTTCAGCCCTCTTCTCTCTCTGCAATTTGAATATCCGCAAAGCCAAATTCATGGCATAGGATTTGCAGAAAAGAGTGAAACTGACTTTTGCATATGGAGTGAGGTTTCCTATCACTGCACAGTTTATCAAGTAGAGTGGCTTCAAAAAACAAGTCTTCAGAATTCTATGATTTAGGTGACTTCACATGTCTATACTGTTTGACACAAAGTAATTACCTTGTCTAGACAACAAGTCCTATCTAGTTTTTAGAGGGTCCCTGAAGCAAATGAAGCAAGTTTGAAAGTGAGTCCCTGCAGCCCTTTCCAGAAAGTAAGAGACCATGTGTTAGATTTTTCATTTATTAGCCAGTAATATAGCCAACCGTTTATTAAGGACCACTTATTAGAAAGGGATAGGCCTTCTATAATGTGTTTAGGGTCATAATACGATTCTCACGCACAAACAGGAATAATCACACAACAGCCACAAAAGCCGGTCTCCTCATGTCCACCAGTAGTAACACTGCAGTACTGCTGCCCAGGTCCATCCACCTCTGACACACATACCGAGTACACTATAAAAAGTACCCGTTTCAACGCGTCAGTTGGTTCAGCGGTTGGTCTAAAAACCGCTTAGCTGGAATACTTTTTGCAGTGGGCCCACAGCTCCACCCACACCGTGTCGGACAGATTACAGTTTTTAACTCTTCTATGAACACTGAAGGCACGTCTCTGTTCAAGGAGAAACTGTGTTATGGTTTATTAAAACATCCGTTTTTTAAAACGTTCCAGCTGTTGCGTTAAACGTGGCCGTCGCTGTTCGTGCGGATCATAGGCTGATGTGCGCCCTCGGTCTGTCTCAGACTGCCGCTGAAAGTTACTTTAAAGACTTATATGAATCCGTAAAGTCCAAGTGTGAAGAGACGACATCATGTCCACATCCGTGGAAATAACTGATTAACCGAGAGCTTCTGACGTTTCACTGTCCAGGATACAGCGGCGGTCGTGGAGGTAAGGTTAGTGTTTGTGCGCACTTTATCGGATTATCCTCGTATAATCTGAGGAACTGTCACTTGGCACTGTGTTTAGTTTTGTGATCAATTGGTGGAATTGATTTCAGTGATCTGTCCTCACTGGGTGCTTTTTACAAGCGGGAATGCATTCATACATTTTCTTCCCAATCAGACCTCTTTCAAAGATTTAGATCCTATTGTGGCCAATCAGCACAGGCTGTCAGCAGCAGCATTATGACCGTCTAACATCGCTCTACTTTTTCGGACACACACAGTGGGATGATTGGTTTGCATGTGTTCTCCTGCACGACGGTTGGCTGACAGGTGTGAAATAAGGGAAACTGCTTGTGTTACCTGAGCAACAAGTGGCGCCTGCTGCAGAGGGGGGTGTTGTGTAAGTAAGCTTTGGAATAGAAAAGCAATACCAGCGTTCATACACATCATACACAAAAATAAGAAATGGTTACATGAACACACACACTGAAGTGACAGTTTGACCTGAAAATTATCTCAATTACCAAGATATTGTAATTGAGATAATTTTTCTGACATGGTTGGCTACACACTCAACTGAGGATGTAGATCAGCCTGATGTAGAAGCTCTTTGGTAATTATAACTGGAAATATTGACAAAACTGCATGTATATATACTTTCTTGACTGAATGTCAATATGTAATTAAGGAATTTAAAGCATATTGACCTTTAGTGATTTTTTTTGACACAAAAATCTGACAACCATAGTGACCATCATCATTGCAATGCAAATGAATCCAGCTTTAATCACACTGGTCCGTCCAAATCTGATTAGCAGAAGTCATAACAGACTACCACTTTTCATCTCTATCTGTGGCCTGGCCTTTGTGCAGCGCCACTTACATTATCTATCAGACTTCAGTCATCTTTAATAAATCAGAGGTTGCCTCACAACAGGCAGGTCTTGAATCTCCAGCCCTTATGGCTTCACTTAAACAAGCAGAAGCTCGTGTCTTATGACAACCTGATGGATGCAGGTTTGTGCAGGGCTACGAAAAACCAGCATTTACTGAAATAAACTCATTGGCTTCAACAGCAACTTTGTTTCCAGTCTGTGCTGTCATACTCCTCCCTGTGTGGATAATGGGTACTAATGGAAACTCTATTTTTGGCTAAATCCACTGAAAGATTTAGGATACAATTAATGCATGCATATATAAATTTAATGAAGGAGTGAACGATGGAAGCCTGGAAAGAGGCGACAGTGACCGAGATAAAGGCTAATAATAGACAGATATGGCAGAGGCTCTGTGGTGATTGGTTGGCTGAGACTTAGTGGATTATTGTATTATTATTCAATGAGCCCATGATTCTACTGACAACTCACCCACTGACAACTTTGACACAGCGAGGTGCCTGCAACTTTGGAGGGATGTTGACAGTATTTACTTCTGGCTACTTCTGGAAGCTGGTAAGGCAGTGAGGAGAGTAGTAAAGTCCTCACAGGTAAATGGCAGGTTCATGAGAGGAAACTGGCCTGTAACCAGGTGAATGACAGGCCAGCTGAAAGCACATAGGAGCGAGTTTTGTCATAGGCTTAGTACTGGTGAACCTGGGTGAAGTAGAGTAAGATTTGGAGAGCTCCCTTCTTCACACATTTGCAAGCTGCTGGCTGTAAACGCAGCAATATCAGATTTAAAAAGTGCAATTCTTAAGTTTGCCCTGAAACAGTACTGTAGAGAGTATGGCAATCCAATCAACTGTACAGTTCATGCTGCTGTTAAGTACACCATCAGGTCAGCTAACACTGCTGACTCCTTACAGCCCATATAGAACCATAGAGAACCTCTAACAAAGCAAAGTATAATACCACCAATGTGTATTTTCATCATTAAAACTCACATTCACTGAGGTCATAGGCTTTTGTGTGTTCTGACAATTCCAGTCCGTGTGTGGCTGCTCACAGTTTTACTGTCAACAGAACTTAGTTTATGCTGCGCATAATTTTATTAGCACATCTTTCCTGTCAAGTGTTGATGGAAGTCTTGGATCCAGGAATATGTTGCATCATTTTCCAATCCTGCTGTACCTTGCCTTGGATCTGTTTTATGATATTTTCTGTTGCCAGGAGCATTGCCTTTGTTGTTTGCACACCTCCCTCAAAACATTTGACTATAATGGCATGAACCATTATTATGTCAGACAGAAACACTTTTATCTACCTTACGTACCAAATAAGCTTTATTTGCTTTACCCAGTTTATACCCAGTGGAAAAGAAAGGTGAATATGGGAAGGCAAACTTTTGGAGTTATTTTCAGTTCACTGTAAAGAAGCTTGAAATGAGGCAGCAACAGAGGAGTGAAGTGTCTCAACCCAGACTGACTGACCCTAGTTTACCTCATGACCACAGTTCTGTGACGATAGCATCCTGGTAGAAAGCCACCGTGAGACAATAGGCCAACCTGTCTGGAATAAGGCCCCTGTGGTTTCAGCTCCAGTTGGCCCTTGTTTGAGGATGGGGTCAGGATATGAATGCTGGGCATCTGCCAATTCCTCTGAATCCAGGAGAGCGCTTCCTCAGGCCTGGAAGTTCCCATATAATAACCAGTCAAAAAACAAAAGATGCAGCTCTGCAAGGTGGTTGCATAATAATTTCTTTTGAAGATTGTTGTAAAGATTTAGGTTAGCAGTGAATCCTAAAGACATGTTCACACTTATCCCTGGGAATAACCTTTAGGATACACAGTTCAAGTACTAACAAGCAGTTGGATTTAATTTTGTTGTTGTTTTACATCTTGTGACATGGAAACAGTGTTAGCTGCTGTACAAAGACACAGACACAGCTAGACACAGATTTAGGCCAGTCCCCCCTTCATGTCGCGGCTCAGAGAAGTCCAAAGGAGGAGTTTGTTTTGTTAAGGATCGTTGACCAGGAAACATGCCATTATCTGTTTTTATTTGACCGGGATATTGCTCTTCATTGCCACCTTTTATAAAAAAAGATAAACAAAACATTTTATTTTCAGCTGTACTTTTTTCGGTTTAGAGGATGAGACACAGAGGTTACAGTGGGGCCTTTCAGCAATAAATTGTTCTGATTTCATAAGTGGTGTCAAGATCAGGGGTGGGCTAGTTAAATTTCCCAACCAGGCCCTCTGCAGTCATCCCTGCTGTACCAAAGCAGGCCTCATTGAAATGAACGAGGAGGCTTTGTTTTTTGACACAGCGCAATCGTCAGTCTGACTACAGAGCGACACATTTTGTGTGTTTGCCATTCTTTTTATCGGCTTTGTTGTACTGGATGACAACACATTCTTGAGCCAATCCTGTGGCTGTGATAACATGGCTCTGCTCGGCCCCTGCTTCGAGTTAGTAGTGGAAACGCATGTCTCACGGCTTGGCTCTGAGCGGCTAAAGTGGACCGACCCTGGCCATGGAATAACCCTATTAGCTTAACTTGCCTCCCTTCTAAGCAGCAACATCTACCATAATCAGGTGAAGATCAGCATAACCAAATAAGGCTAAAAAGGTGATCACAATGACTTTTCTACAGTTAACTGGATCCCTGGATCCAAGACTATTTGTAAGGCATGGCTCCTTTAGCTTGGTAAACTGCCCTCTTGATGGGGCAGAGGCTTACCCTGAGTCGACTGGGTGCAGAGTTTGTATGTGCATGAAAATCAGAGTATTATGAATAGGGCTGCAACTAACGACTATTTTGATAGTCGATTAATCTAACCGTTATTGAAACGAATAATTGAAATTCTTGCACCCCTAATTATGAACTTGCAGTTTGGACTATTATCTTTATTTAGCCCTTTCTGCAGTGTTGTCAGTCAGCCATGTGATCCAACAATAAATCAAATGCCTTAAATTAAGCTGAGAGTTTAGAGCCATGCTAGCTATGAAGCGGTACTTAATGTTAAGCACAGTGGTGCTTTGAGCTAAATGCTAACATTAGCATGCTAACATGCTCACAGTGGCAATGCTTACATGCTAATGTTTATGTTATACTTACCAGGTTCACTATCCTAGTTTTATGTTAGCATGCTAGAATGGTCTTAACACAAAGTAGGCCTACAGCTGAGGCTGATGGGATTGTCATTAGTTTTGCAGGTATTTGGTCATGAACCAAAGAATTGGGCAAAGTAAAACCTTGACCTGAAGCTGGCGCTAGATGAAAAGTCAGAGGATCACCAAGTCATGAGATTTTATACTCAAGAAACCTTGAATATCTGTAAAAAAATTCAATCTATCCAAGAATCAACCTCGTGATGACACTAGAGGAAAACTCTTCATCCTATGGGGACCATGAATGTCTGTAAAAAAAAAAATGCTTAGCAAGCCATCCAAGGCATTTCAGTCGGCACCAAAGTGGTGGAATGCCATTGCCATCCATAGAGAGTCTATACTTTGTTACTCACCAGAACAAGGTGTTTCCAAAGGTCACATGCTCAGACTAAAAGCTTGTTCCCAGTATCCAGCTTTATTTTTAGACAATATATAAATAGCACACTAAAGGTTACATGAGCTTAACTACTGGAATTCCATAATTCTTTCTGTAAGATACTCCATACAGAAATTATATGGAAAAGAAAAGTCAGAAGGACACACAAGCACTCTTTTGAGATATAAGGCACCCTGAAAAAAGTCACAAGGCAGAACACCGTCTCTTCTAGTGAGCCATAAAAAACAACACCTTCTGAGCCAAGACATTTTTACCTGCCACCAAGGCAACGAGCTTTTGTCTGAGGCAGAAGTGAGTTTTAGGGCAGCGTGCTGACTCCTTCTGATTCTTTCCTTTCTACAGATGTGCTTCTCTTTCAACGATCAAGTCATACCCATAGATAGACCTACCTGTCGATGCTTATTTGCCACATTTCCACAGTCAAATCCTTAGATGTGTGACTGTAAAACATATACTATATTATTATGTCTGTCCCAAACATGACTCACTGTTAAATAGTGTGTTGACTTCCTCTCACAGGTGATGTTACTCCAAACAAAGCACAGGAGTGTCAACATATTCACTGTGTTTTGTGTACATATATCTCAGCAACATGACATGACATGGAATGTTGATTAAAAATGTAATTGTATAGACTGAACTAATCGGATGAAGGCTTGTTGTGTTTAGTAACACTTTGTTCTTCTTCAGGTTCCCAGTCCTGTGTGGGATGTTAACGGACTGGTGGCGCGTTGAGGCTGAAGGAGCATGGTGAAACACCAACCCTTGCAGGTCTATGAGAAGCAGGTCTTTGTGTCCTTTGTCACTGGGATCTATGGTTGCCGCTGGAAACGCTACCAGCGTTCCCAAGACGACAGCTCCAGGGTAAGACAATACCAATGATCACTAAGTATGGGTATCATAATAATATATTTATATAAAATTCAAATATATAACATCAACAACAATCAACAACAATCGTATCGTATTACTGTAGTACTATAGTATTATTATTGTATGTAGATGCATCTTGGCAAGTTGTTGTCGCTGAGTGATCAAATTATCAATATTTGATTACTACTTGTGCCAATACAATACAGAATTTTATTCCAAATCAATACTTTTTTAGATATTTTTCTTTAAAAATGGTCGACATGTTTTTCTACGAGACACTTTTCAATAAACAAAAAAAAAGCGCCATGAGTCTCAAATGTTAAATGTCTAAACAGAAGTGCAAGAATGTTGCTGTAATGAAATAGTATAAGAGTTGGCAAAATTTTAATTTAAATCATGAAATATTATATCTAAGCATTACAAGCCTATAAATCTGACCGTATCTTCAATTCAATAGCTGGTGCTATGGACACTTCTCTGTCAGTACCAAAACACAGCCTTCTCCTATTATACAGTGTGTCTTTCAGACATATTGAAATTATCAGTAGGCTGGGACAAGTGTTGGGCAAGTTACTTGAAAATTGTGAATTGTAAAAGTAATGCGTTGCCATTGCTCATTTCTTTACTTTTGTTACTCAGTTCAGATCTGTCAAAGGTGCCTTGAAACAACTCCAAATCTTCAACACCCTCATGTCACATCTTCTGAATTTAACTCATGTAGAAATAGAAAATAAGACACTGTGAATGAACAAATCCTGCAATTTTGGAGGGATTTACTGGCCATCAACAGCTAGCTTAGCCTCTGCGACTGCACCTAGCTGTCCAGAACAACACACAACATGTGTATAAGACAACTTTGGAATTACGGGAAGTAGCATTTCAGCTCTGTTGGTAGAGGTGAACCACCCCACAGACCAGTCTGTCCACTGAACACGGAGACCAAACCAATATTAGCCCACCATCCATCTCCCAGTACAACTGTAACAGAGTAACTGTAAAGTTATTACAAAATTTTAAATTGTAATCCACAACTTGTTGCTGAAAAAAGTACACTAATTGCATTACTGTAACATGTTACAAGTAACGTGATAAGTTTTAGTCCTAAAATGAATGAGTCATGACACAGAATAAGAGAAAGTAGACAAAGAAAGCTGAACTTGAGTGTCATCTTTCAGCTGCTTATTATACTACTGTAGTAACTGTAGTAGGGGGACGAGTAGAGAACCATGGTTATTATGTTAATCATAGGTGATTTTGCCATAATATTTGCAGTGCAGTGTAAATGCTGATGCTGTTCTAGTTGGAACCTGTATTACAACTCAGTCATCAGCCCGCTGGACTGTTGCAAATTTACACTACTGCATGAAGAAAATAAAAAATAAAAAGTTGCAGTCCTATAGGTTGTAATGATGAAAGAACAAGAAACATGACTGATGTGTGTATACATCTACTGTATGTATGTACATGATCCTAGCCTAAATGATTGTATGATGAAACCTTAAGAACAAAAGTAATGGAAACAGATATTTTTATCTCTATTTCAATGATTGCTACTTACATCCAGGCACCCTATAATGCAAAATAGGAGAGTGTGTGGCCATTGGCTTACTGTATATAGTGTGCAGCAGAGCAAAACAGAGGCTGATAATTAGACAACACAGTCTTGCTGAGGCTGCACAGAAACCTGATCACACCTCAGGAATATATTAACTATTTTCCATTGTGTTGTTCTGAAGGCCAAAAAGAAATTAGTCTGGCTTTGTGAAAGGCAACACAAAACTACACAACTGCAACGCACATTTGTCCATTTTGATTTTGGCATTACAGGCTGCTTTTGTACCCTGAATTTCACCTTAGTTTCCCTCCTTTTTTTATCTATAAATGGCCTAGGTACCATTTATTGTTAGTGTAGTCTTTTATCACAAAATTTTGTTTGGATTTTCTGATTAAATGGATAGACCCCAAATGGAAATATTTTAGATGCCAGACATCGTGCTACAGACATGCATCACCATGTTCACCACTTTGAGCTTTGGAAATACATTTCTTTGGATTTAAATCATGTTTGTCAGATGTTGGGCAGTGTCAATTGTGCTTCACTAAAAACTGATGAAATGCTAGTCTAACATTTGTTTATCTTTCTAAGGTGTTTGTAAGGTAATTAATTTGTAGTTTCAATCATTTAAGCTTCATTTTAGAAAGTCTTTAGGAATTTTAGGAATCTTTTTAAATAAAAAAGTTTGTTTCCAAAGCTAATCCATTAGAAGTTGATGTCGTCCCAATTTCTTTCACTGAATTCCTAAATGACTTCTAGACCAGGCCCTAGTAACTGGGGAAAACGATCCTCACAATAAAGCAAGTACCAGAATCAGTGCAGTGTTTGGATGTGTAAAGCACAGAGCCAGACACCCAGCTGTGTTGGAAACCCACTGGGCAGCCACAGCTACTGCTGTTGGATGTCTTCTTTATCACAAAGAGCCAGTGGCTCAGCCATAAATTAGTCCATTTAATGAATGTGTGAGCCGGGCACTGATGATGTGCTGACCAAGAGGAGAAAATGCAAGCACACAGCTGCCCCTTTCCATTTGCAAAGCTACATGTAGCCACACATGCAGTGCTTACACATAAGCAGAGAGGTTCATTCAATTCATGCGCTTAAATGCCGTCTGTTTACACTGCAACACAGTGATGTGTGACTGATGTTATTATTAAGGAGGCTTAATGTTCTCTTTGCACTGTGGCCCACAACAGTATATAGAAATTCCAAGAAAATGGATACAGTATGTGTGCAAACCATTCTACCATTGCACATACCATTTATATGGTACTTTATTCATACTTTATACATATCTGCATTCTGTATTATTATTCTTTATCTGTTACTGTGTCCATGTTCAGCTGACATTGACCTTGTTTGATACAGGCCATTCTGTACAGAATTTATCAGCAGAGGAAAGAAGGAGGGAGACGTTTGTCATGTCAGTGAAATCAACACATAGATCAGGATTTATGGGCGCTGTCAGAAGTTGGCAGTTCTAATTGGAGAGGTGGAGAGACCTTTGAAGGCCATGTAGCACTCAGGAGAAAAGTGTCAAGTCTCACATAGCTCCCCTGAAAATGACTTTTACAGCACATCGAGAGTTGCCTGCTAAAAGCAGGAAAATGTCATATGGAGGTAACTTTGGATGAATGGATGAAATGTAGTAAATGTGTTTAGTAGAAGCCATGGACATGTATGACAAACCCTCAAACATATTTTCTCATGACCTTGTTTTTAAAAAACAGATGCACCATTTTGTAGATCCCTTTTGTGTTTTTCGTACATGATAGCTAAAGTTTAGGTAAGTAAATGAACACAGGAGAATTTCTAATTAACAAAAATCTGGAATTTGATTAATTTTTCTGGCAAAATGAGGAATTAAATTTTATAATATTATGACTTTTTGAGAAATAATGTAAACTACATTTTATTTTAAAGTTGGATTCAGATTTTTTCCCTCCAGTGTAAGCCCACTCTGAGTGGAAACCAGGATGTAGAACACTAACAAGGGCAGAATGACATAAATCTCACATTTTGGGAAGTGGTCTGACTTCATGCTGTGTTTCTGTGAGTCCATATCTAGGACACTATTCCCACTGTTGTTTGGTGCTCGAGGTAAATTAACAATGTGACTCAGGCTCAGTGCCCCATAGTCATGTACAGTCAACTGACCTGTGAGTAGCAGGTAAACCAATTAAAAACAGCCACTGGTGCTCATCATTTCCCAATTTCTGCTGTAATGTTGTTACTGGTTGCATCAGAAGATATTCCCTGATTCATATTCATGCCCTCTCATCCCTCTCCGTTCCTGAAACCTTTCATTTCATCGTCCTGTGTAAACTCAACTACTTCATCGGTGCATCTGCTCTTTCCCTGCACATCTAACATCTAATTATCTCCCAGCCTCTTACGTAAGCCCTTGGAAATGGTGAGTCCAGGCACGGTGTGGTGCAAAGCCTATCAGTGCTCAGGATATGTTGACTTGCCTATCATACTCTACACTTTTCCTAACAGAGCGTTAATTCCTAATCCTGTTAACTACTGAAGGGAAGTGTCCTTGACTGCTGCACAAGCTCTCCTCTGTACCTTTGTCCCACATGTCAAGCCAGAAGACCGCACAGTAAGGGGTTAAAATCATCAGATTGTGAAAATGTTGTAGAAGTGGGTAGTTGGCCTACATAAAATAAAAGAGAATCTCAAACAAAGAGATATTTCAAGGATATGTTAAGTGATATCTCACTTGTAAATATATGGCTTAATTCATTAAGAAATTGTCTCCAATAATTACTGTAGTCCCCAAATAGGTCTACACTTAGTATAAAGTAGTAAAATCAATTATGAGCAAACTCAAGTTCATTGTGTGTGAACTAAAAGTTCCTTGTTAAAAACTTTAAACGAGTTTTAACAATTTTTAAAAATTTTTAGCATTGAAGATTTCTTAAAATTAGTGTTAAAATCTTGTCTCGTGTCGATCCAGTGAACTCAGTATTGTGTCTCGTCTCCTGAGCTAAGTGTCTTGTCACACCCCTACTGTTAAACCAGTTCAGTGGTCTGAGAGACGTACAGTACGTCCACTCAGATAGGTGACAGAGTGGGGTGGTTATCTGTGGGTTTGTCTCTATGACCAATCCCTTTCACCTTAGATGCATCATTTGATCCGTTGTTGATAACAAATATTGATTATACCAGTTTTCATATCTTCCTTTCCTTCTCAGAGTTTGTTCTGTAATTTCTAGTATGTTATTAAGACATACTCACACTCTTAAAACACACTCTTCATATCCTTTAAGTGGATGTAATAGTGTCAGTATAGAATCTGTAAAAGTAAACTGTTGTTTGTATTTTCCTTTACAGTGGGAGTGTACATGGTTCGTCATCTTGTGCAGCTCTTTCTTTCTGCTTCTCTTTTGGGCGTACTTCTGGTTGGTGGCTCGAAATGATTTCAACGAATTCAACTGGTAAGTCAGTCATCCCACTGTGTCACTGGAAGTGACAAGCTGTTTGTGACCAGCATGTTTGGATGGATGGATGAGGTTATGAACAGCTGGGTGCTGACGTTACCGCAGCAACCAGACCTGCCAACATGTGTATTTTGAAAACCTATCAAGAACGAACCCCATTGGCATGAATTAGTCTTACCATCAGCATAGATCATTCAAACCTTACCTATTCACACCCCAGGTCGGTATACAACCGCTCTGGAGAGTGGAAGGATGAGACGATCCCCATCCTCGCATCCACCACCGTGGGATTCAGCTACATCACATTCTTAATGGTAACGGTCCTTTGGTAACTTCTGAATGCTAGCAAACTTGCTTATTTCTCAGTTACAGTATAACTCCCTGCATCTTGCTTCTTTTTCAGATTTTAGCACTCTTCCATATATCCTTGGGCCAGCAGCTCAACTTGTACTGGGTTCACAAGGTGCTGTGATTAACATCTTAAATTTTTACCATGGGTTTGCACCACACACACTTTTGAAATCCTCATTGTCCTTCTCGTCTCTACAGATTGGCGTGTTGGCTACGCTGCTCACCACTATCTCTGGTGTTGTCTCTGTTGATGATATATGGGGAGATGAGTGGGACATCCTGCTTGTATCACTACAGGTTGGTGTAGATTCAGAAGGACATGACTTTGCTCACTCTGTGTCTTGTTTTTGCTGTTGTGGATTATATGCAGTGTAGAATAGTGACAGTTAAAGGGAAGATTAATAAATTGCAACTAAACTTTCCATGAATTGATCCCTAGAATTAGGCCCCGTGCCCACTACTGCGTTTTCGTTTTAAAACACAGACCTTTTGCTACGTTTGCGCCTCCCGTCCAGACTAAAACGGCAGCAATGAAGACCTAAAACAGACAAGTTTGAAAACGCTACCCCGTTTTTTGTTTTAAAACTCCGGGTAGCGTTTTAGTGCAGACAGGCAGAAAATGGAGGACTTTAGAAACGATGATGCAGATGCTCATGTTTAGCGCTCTAATTGGGTCATATAAGTCATTCACAGCAGAAACAGAAGCAGAGTTCTACTGACAGAGTTTTTGACCCTGTATTTTTATTGAAATATTTTGCATCGTGCAAAAAACACTTGTGCCTACACTTGCGCTGTGCACGTCGTCGTATTTACTTTGCGACGACTCCCAGTCTGTTTTCCGCTGCCACAGTTGCTTTTAACTCCCGTGTTACATTCAGTAACAGTCCCAGCTTATTATTGGTCCATGCAAAATAAAATCTGGTGTGATTGTTCGTCTGCCTTACTTTATTCTTTTGCCAAATTCTTCTTTCTCCCGGAACACACACTGTTTACCTACTTTTGTCATTTATTTATTATCTACAGGTCCCTTTAAGTTGTTCTCTGTTCTATTCTCTAATAGTTCTCTCTAATAAGTAACCATCAATTTACACCGGGATTGTATATCTGTTTTGTTACCAGTCCACAGCACCTTTCCTGCACATTGGAGCCCTGGCAACAGTCACAGCTATCAGCTGGTTGGTAGCTGGATATGTGGTCCGCAGAGAGCGATCCAGTAAGTTGACTTGTATTTAGAGTAAAGATCCCTGTCATCACCAGGGCAGATTTCTGCTTTTGATTTATTTAGCTGTAACAGAGTGATTAGGACTGGATCGTTTCTATGATTTTATTGAGAATAAAGCTATAGTTATCCACCTGTTTCCATGACAAGGTGCTTTATATTTTGATCAACCACATGAAGATGTTGTGTGCTACAGTAAAGGTGTTTAACTACATCTCATTGATTGATTGATTGATTTTTCCCCTTCAAGGAATGCAACCCTCTGGTATTCCAAACAGATTAACAACTCTACAAACCAACACAGACAAAGCTAAACATTTCTTTTCATGATGAGTAGATGAGCTGAAGATGAATAAAGTGACTCTCCTTCCTCCATATCGCTCTCTCTTAGGCTTCCAGGTGATGGTGTTGGTGATCTACATTATCATCCTCCTGGCTCTCTGTTTGGCACCGCTCTCATTTAACTGCCCCTGCATCATGGACCGCCACAACCTCAAACCTCGACCAGACGTCATTGGCCGACGGGGAGCTCCTATGGTGAGTTGGTGCTTTGCCAGACCTCGCTGTCTGAGCCAGTTAATTGCTCAGATGGATGATGTGCAGCTCATATGCAACAGCACATATGCTCATATGTCAGGTGTTCATTTACTGCATGATAAAAAACGTGGCAAAAATGGCCTACGTTTTGACTGACTCATTTTTCTTCCCAAGAATTGCTACATCAACATCTTATGCTGATAAATCAAGCAATTCTGTGCAGACTCAGTGTGTGCATGCCCCTGCACTATATTTTACAGAGCAGAGTGGTGTGCAGCTCCAGCATGTGAGCCTGCTGTCAGGCTCAGTAAGCATGAGAGTCAACAACACTCTGAACTGTCATTTCACAGCTGGGCAAGCAAATACTTTTCCAGATGACTAGCTATAAACAAATGCACAGGGATGTTCAGAGCTTTGTTTTCCTGCTCTTTAAAGGCACACACATACTCATGTACACGTACAGTAGACACCTAAACACACTGCAAGGGACCTGAGCTGTGTGGAGGTTTTAAATAAATCACAGAGCACAGGCCAAAAGTTTTTTATGCCTAAAAACATATTACTATGTTCCACAAAGTTATGCACATACCTGATAGACAGAGATTCTGTAGAGTTGGAGGCGCTCACTGATCACCTCCTACTATAAACAGATGACTGAATAAAGCTGAAATAGCGTTGGAAACACAAGTCAAAGACTGTGCATTGTCAGCAATATGGAAATTAATTCATTGGACTTCATGGCTCCTTTGTTTTTTTCTGCCTACCTATTGGGAAGTGTATTGCAATGTATCCTGCACCAAAGCAGACAGCAAATACAGCAGCAGTGAAGTGGAGAAAAAAGGGCTAAAAGTTTTCAGGCTGGCAAACTTCTACGGTTGTTAAATAAAGGTTGTAATGTCTTAACTTTATGATTTTTTTATACTGATTAGTTTATTCCCTAAAACGTCACTGCCATAAGACCTCCGCTATACCTAAAAAATGCAATACTGCACACATTCTTTGGACAATTCTCACAGCCTACTAGTACTACTTTGTAAATTTTAGTGATAAACCTAAGTTAATAGTTAATAGTCATGAATTAAATCTGTTTTGCTAGTAGCCTGAAGGTATAAGTATATGTATGTGTATATGAAAGCAATATAATTCACATTTAAATTTCTAATTCAAAGATAGAATAGATTCCCCTAGAGTTGCTGCTGCTCTGCTAAACTAGTTACCTTTAGCAGGAGTTTAGCAAGGTTTTTTCACCATTGTAAACAGACATAAAAAATATGCTCTGCAGAAGTATGTACAGATATCCAAATAAACAAACTGAAGGCAAAAGAATTTTAATTTAACAGAGCGAGAGCAGAGATCTTCCTCAGGCATTGTCAAATAACCATATAGGGGCAGGCGATATTGCCCTACAGTAAAATCATGTTATTTCAGGGTATTTCTAGGATAGAGATATTCTTGATGGCCAAACAACATGACAAAATACTGCAAAATATTTTTGGTTTAGAACTCACAATAGCTGTCCTCCTTGGATTTATTTTTTTTGCTGCTCTCACCCTTTAGATGTTACAGATTTCTTGCACTTCTTCCACGTTACCGGGGTTTGTTGTACATCTGATCTTTTGCAACCAAAACACTTCCTCACTAATCTTGGAATGAACATTGGAGCCGGTAGCAACATTACTTCCACTTCTATCCATGCTTGTTGTTGCAGCATGTAATGGTATGATGTCATTACATCAAGTCGGAATATGGCCATTATCACGATATGAATTTCATTTAATATTTTATCATGTTAAAATTATACCAATATATTGTAAATGGCATGACATGGCACAGCCCAAAAATATTAAGAGAGAACATATAAAATGTAATACATCAAAAAAGCTAAATAAAGCATGAATCATATCATCATGTTTCCCTATCTGAATGTTCTTAGATAATTCTGTTACGTTTCATGTGTGTTTTCTTCACACCGTGACTGACAGTAGTCCTCCTGTCTGTCTCCTCACTGCTCTAGCTGGCTCCAGAAAACACCATAGTGTCCTTCAACAGAGCCCTGCAGCATGGAGCCAGCTCCCTGGAGGCAGACGTCACGATCAGGTTATTAACCACAGTATATATAATATCATTTTAATCCTGGGTTATTTATATTTAATGAAGATCCACATATACAGTGGGTACGGAAAGTATTCAGACCCCTTTAAATTTTTCACTCTTTGTTTCATTGCAGCCATTTTCCAAAAATCAAAAAAGTTCATTTTATTTCTCAGTAATGTACACTCAGCACCCCATCTTGACAGAAAAAAACAGAAATGTAGAAATTTTTGCAAATTTATTAAAAAAGAAAAACTGAAATATCACATGGTCATAAGTATTCAGACCCTTTGCCGTGACACTCATATTTAACTCAGGTGCTGTCTATTTCTTCTGATCATCCTTGAGATGGTTCTACACCTTCATTTGAGTCCAGCTGTGTTTGATTATACTGATTGGACTTGATTAGGAAAGCCACACACCTGTCTATATAAGACCTTACAGCTCACAGTGCATGTCAGAGCAAATGAGAATCATGAGGTCAAAGGAACTGCCTGAAGAGCTCAGAGACAGAATTGTGGCAAGGCACAGATCTGGCCAAGGTTACAAAAAAAATTTCTGCTGCACTTAAGGTTCCTAAGAGCACAGTGGCCTCCATAATCCTCAAATGGAAGACGTTTGGGACGACCAGAACCCTTCCTAGAGCTGGCCGTCCGGCCAAACTGAGCTATCGGGGGAGAAGAGCCTTGGTGAGAGAGGTAAAGGAGAACCCAAAGGTCACTGTGGCTGAGCTCCAGAGATGCAGTCGGGAGATGGGAGAAAGTTGTAGTAAGTCAACCATCACTGCAGCAATCCACCAGTCGGGGCTTTATGGCAGAGTGGCCCGACGGAAGCCTCTCCTCAGTGCAAGACACGTGAAAGCCCGCATGGAGTTTGCTAAAAAACACCTGAAGGACTCCAAGATGGTGATAAATAAGATCCTCTGGTCTGATGAGACCAAGATAGAACTTTTTGGCCTTAATTCTAAGCGGTATGTGTGGAGAAAACCAGGCACTGCTCATCACCTGTCCAATACAGTCTCAACAGTGAAGCATGGTGGTGGCAGCATCATGCTGTGGGGGTGTTTTTCAGTTGCAGGGACAGGACGACTGGTTGCAATCGAGGGAAAGATGAATGCGGCCAAGTACAGGGATATCCTGGACGAAAACCTTTTCCAGAGTGCTCTGGACCTCAGACTGGGCCGAAGGTTTACCTTCCAACAAGACAATGACCCTAAGCACACCGCTAAAATAACGAAGGAGTGGCTTCACAACAACTCCGTGGCTGTTCTTGAACGGCCCAGCCAGAGCCCTGACTTAAACCCAATTGAGCATCTCTGGAGAGACCTGAAAATGGCTGTCCACCAACGTTTACCATCCAACCTGACAGAACTGGAGAGGATCTGCAAGGAGGAATGGCAGAGGATACCCAAATCCAGATGTGAAAAACTTGTTGCATCTTTCCCAAAACGACTCATGGCTGTATTAGATCAAAAGGGTGCTTCTACTAAATACTGAGCAAAGGGTCTGAATACTTATGACCATGTGATATTTCAGTTTTTCTTTTTTAATAAATTTGCAAAAATTTCTACATTTCTGTTTTTTTCTGTCAAGATGGGGTGCTGAGTGTACATTACTGAGAAATAAAATGAACTTTTTTGATTTTTGGAAAATGGCTGCAATGAAACAAAGAGTGAAAAATTTAAAGGGGTCTGAATACTTTCCGTACCCACTGTAAATCCCACAGCCGACACATACTGTAGGTTGTTATGTAGAAACATTTAAATTTAATAAAAGCCATTTCTTTATACAACCAAGTGTCATTGAATGAAGTAATGTCTGGTGATGTGGAATGTTCCAGCACATTCCACATCTGCTAATTATTATAGTTCCTTATACCAAAGAATATACTAAATCATAATTGAAGTACAACATTTTCTGACCATTTTGTCGCTTCCAGTGCGGACGGCGTTCCCTTCCTTATGCGAGACCACACCATGAGACGAACCACGGATGTTAGTAAGGTCTTCCCAGTCAGACAGAATGACGATGCCTCTTTCTTCAACTGGACAGAGATTCGCTCTCTGAACGCAGGCCAGTGGTTTTTGGAGGTACTGAAGCCCACTTCACCTCAACTCACCCTGATTTGTTCATGCAGATTCCATGACCACTATAAAATGCCCTTCAATGATGCCACATCAAAAGTCCTTTAGGAAAATAAAATGTTTCAGTTTTGAAGGATTCCTGGAGGAATTATGCAGGTATTGTGTTGTACGATGAATTTGTCTAGCAGTGAAATTATATTTAGAATGTGCTGCAAGACTATAAAATGTAGTGAAACCCAGTTTAAACACTAGAACATGTTAAAAAGAAATCTCCTGTGCAAGGGCTATAGAAATGAATTACCTTTTCTGATGAGCAACATGAGGTTATGGAATATAGGTGCAGTGGAACAGTGCTGATGAAGGTCTATGTAATCAAATCTTTTGACGACAAACTGGGTGCACATGCTGATTAATTTCTTTTCAGTACACACAAATTAGCTGCATGTACTTCATTTAGAATGCCAGTTGTTCTTCATTTTGTATTAACCATTCGACAGAACAACACTGTGTATGTTACATCTCAGTGTCTGTCCTCTGCTTCCAGAGTGACCCCTACTGGACAGTAGAAACCCTTACAGCCAGGGAACGGAGCAGAATAGGCAACCAGACGGTTTGCAGTCTGGTGGAAATGCTGCGTCTGACGGCCAGGGCCAACAGCTCAGCGCTGCTCAACATCCGGAAGCCTCCACCAGAGCACCCGCGCTACCGGAACTGGTTCATGGACACGTTGTGGGCTGTGCAGAAGGCAGGCATTTCCCAGAAGAGGGTGAGGACTGTAGGTCCCTCCATATTTGTTCCTTTGATTGATTATTAAAGGTGCTGCTTGTAGTACTGTGACCCCAGTAAATCATGAGTACATTAACAGCTGTCACTGAGATTGGCAGCTGGTGTTGTCCTACAGTATTAGGATTTTTACAAAGTGTGTTACTATGGCGAATACTGTGGAAAATTTACAGGATTGCTTTTAACAGACAGTTAGCAGATACTGTTCTTTCTGCTGTTACAAACTGCTGCAAGGATTGAAAGCCGAGCGTAAATATCTATTCCAACATAGTGCATCAGGCCTAATAAGTTAGACACACGTTTAGTAACATCCGGGAGAGGCAAGGACATATAGCACCAAAAAGGAATGTATTCTTAAAGGTTCAGTTTGTAATATTTCTGAGGATCTATCGACAGAAATGCAATGTAAGATCCATAACTATGTTTTCAGTGGTGTGTAAAGACCTTGCATAATAAACCATTGTGTTTTTATTACCTTAGAAGAAGCAATTTAAATCCATAACCGCGGGTCCCCCTTCCATGGACGTTGCCACATTGCATCGTCATGTTTCTACAGTAGCTGAAAATGCACAAACAGCGGTACAGAGCGTGTTTAAACAAAATGCTATGGTGCTCATTTAGAATACCCAAGTTGGGAGAATAAATAAGGTTCAATTCAATTCAAGCAGTGCAGACACTCATCACTACGTTGAATCTGTACTTAGAAGAAGAAGAAGTAGTAATAATATACTGCAGGGGTCTATAAATACGTATTGTAACATTTTCAACCATTAAATGGTGGATGAGAATATAAGCCATAATATCAACATGTTGTTCAATTAGCTCAGTTGATAAAGTGCAGAGCTCATAACCCAAGGGTTGGATGTTCAACACTACCTTGGGACAATTTTTTTTTTTTTTTTTGCTCTCTTCAACAAATGGATTATGCAGTGTTTCTTATGCTCACATTACAGCATGTGCTGCAGTGTTTTTATTTTGGTGTTTGATCCTCATCCATCAACCTATGGACGCTTTTTCATTTCCCCAGTGTCTCCAGGCAGAGGACATTTAGGGGAATCACATTTTCTGATGGCTCTTTCAGAGGTCTGTCAAGCAGGCTACAAACTCTTTTAATGTCATTCTGAATTTTTCATGTAAAAGCTCAGTTCAACTGCAGTACTGCATTACAGTAAACAAGCTTCTCACACTTTTATTTTGTAGGCAAAAGAGGAAGTGATTATGTGACTAACTGTTGCAGCCATGACTGAGATCTATTTCAGCACGTGATAAAAGTATTTATTTATTTATATTTTTTGTCTCTATCAAAGCACCATAATCTGACCCTTCCCTTGTCAATATTTGTATAAACTTTATAATGGACTGTGGTGCAGAAACACTGACAGTGTTTCACACTGGCTTATATTTTCCATGTTATCTGTCAGTGGCCAAGTCACAATAACATATGGTTTTACTGAATAATTAAGTAAATATCATTTCTTAATAAATATACCTAAAGAAGCCTCTGTCTGCTGTCTCAGAAGAGACACCTTTTGTGCTGTGTCAGCCACCGTAGCTGTCCTGGGCTATTTGAAAGGTTAGGGGGCAGTGATTGGCCCAATCCCAATGTCCCCCCTAAGCCCTGAACCCTCACAGACTTTACTGACGTCTCTTGGAAAGTGATTGAGTTTAAGAGGCTGCAAGGGCTCAAAATGCTGTAAACAGGAACGGGACAGCCCTTTGCCGTTTTATCACGTTACCTTGACGACGCTGAAACACGTAACACACTTTTCATTTTATGTTTTTGCCTGCAGGCTCTCGCCGTACAGAGTGGAGGAGAGATAAATGTCAAGATATACTTGTCAATAATCAGTACACTATTGTTGGTCAAACAGCATCATTAAGCAAAAACTTAAATAAATAGTTGAATATACTAAGTGTGTAATAAGGTGATTGCATTCCTCTGACTTCACGTGTTCTATGCTCCATCTTAAGTTAAGAAAACTTTCAACAATTTTAACATCATCGTAGGTGTTGATGCTTGTTTGTTTACTGTTTTCTTCTTCTCTTATAACGCGGATTTGCCATGATATTTCACTCGCTTCCGGGCTTCCCCTGGTAACCCCCATGTTTCACGTAAGACCGCTATGAACTGTGGGCAATTCCCTCAGGCAAAGTCTGCAGAAATGTGAACTTACGAAAAGGGTCTATAAAGGGCTCAAAATCCTCGCGCACTTGACGATTTGACAGTGGGACGAAGTCTGTGAGTCTGTGAGGGTGGACACTGGGACTGGGCCGTAGACTGGACAGATGGTTGCAATTCACAGCCTCACCACTAGATGCCACTAAATCTTACACACTGAACCTTTAAATGCCAAACAGTGTGCCATATTGGCAACAAAAGCTTCTGTCATTCCTGTACACCAAGAGATCACAATGACTTTGCTAACATCATATTAATATTTTAAATTCTACAAGTAGCACCGTTAAAGTGTAACATCGCTGCATATGAAGCACATGCCAATTTTCTTTCTGATCAGGGTCTGTCCATGTCATATGTGTTTGTGCCAGGTGACGTGGACCCCCGACACGGACAGGGGGAGGGTGCGAGGGCTTCAGCAGACCGCAAATGAGAAGCTGTCAATGCAAGAGATAAGGCAGAGGGGAATAACAAGCCTGACCCTCCGCTACAGCAAGGCCAGCCACAAAGACATACAGTAAGAGCACGCGTCTACTGCCTAGCAACAAGGAAGGTGCTCAGAAAAATCCTGAAGGAGGAGTTCTGTCTGTTGTTTCAACACTATCTGAAAAAAAGATACTTCAAAAGGACCATTCTGGTGTAACTTTGACTAAAATATTTATAGCAAAGTTTAACTTTAATACAACTCCTTCTTATTTCTGGATTAATAAACAGCCAGCTGCAAGTAACGCCTGTAGCTGGCTGGGTGGATGTGGAAAACATAAGGAGGTTAACAAGCATAGGAGCAATTTCAACTCAAATCTCCTCCAAAGCAAAAGAGATTTGCTAAAGACGAGGACCTCCTCCAATGTTTCCAGGTCTTGAAGAAGTACTGCATGTGTGATAAAAGTCATATAAAGCCTTTAGTGTCTCCTGAGGGAGCTGTGAGAAGTCTGATGAAACTGTCGACAATGTTATAGGAGCGCAATACTTAAGCGGTGGAGTACTTGTGGAGAAAACTTGGTTTCAAATCTCATTTATTTCTCTGTACTGTTAAAAATTAATCACTAAAGGAGCTAAATTCAAAGTTACAGTTCAGAAAAAAGAACTCCAGTTATTACTTCATCTGGACGATGTGGGTGTGGTTTGGCCAGAATAGTGTCCTGCAAACATCAGCTATCATCAGATTTTGATTCAGACTGTGATTGGTGCATGGAGATAACGTGCAACATCACCTTTTCCCAACTGGGCCTCAGCCACAGTACTTCAACTTAGTGAGAAGAGCACAGACAAAACAACTAAACACTGACCCTATCACTCACATCACTCACAATAAGAAGCTGATGTTTTCGGGGGCCTTTATTGCATATGTGAAATGTATACACAGCGTACTTGTACTCACATGGGTAGGGATAATCTCAAAATTACACTGTTTTGGTCCTTTAACACTAGAACCACCAATGGCTAAATTTACCCGTGGCTGTTCTATTGAATTTTCAAAATAATATTCAGGTCCAACATGAAGCAAAAATAATCACAATATCACTGCATTCAGTAGCAGGTACATTTTACCATCTTTGGCAGTTACAGGTATACAGCGGACCCAGGAGGTTCTAGTGACACATACTTTGCCTTCAACTGGGATACTCACCCTTAGCATAGCATCTTTAGATTAACAAATATAGGGTTAGTGTTTCACAGTGCATGCATTTATGATGCTTAAAACATTTAAAGTGACTTTATTTCCCTGTGATTGCACAGTGGTCATGTGAGTGCTGTGATAAGAGAGTAAAAGAAGCTAAGGAGTGAAAGGGAGAGGGCTTTTTTCTCCCATCAGCGTTGACATGTATTTTTCCTTTCCCCAGGGAGTATCTGGCCAATAATGTGAGCGTGACTGTCTACCCAGTGAATGAGCCCTGGCTCTACTCCATTCTGTGGTGTAGCGGGGTGCCTTCTGTGTCCTCCGATGCCCCCCAAATCCTCCAAAAGGTGCCTTACCCCATCTGGCTCATGGTAAACAGCTCTCCTCTCTCTGTCCCTCATCTGACACCACACGCACACACACAGACAAGGTCACGCAGCGAGGCGAGAGGACAGCAGGAGACAGGACAGAGACTGACGAGGGCCCAGCAAGACTCGGGGGCGAGGACGCAGAGAAATATGAGGGAGCTCAGCGGCCGACTTTAGCTCAGCGTGGCGTTAGAGAACAACAGGACACTGGGAAAGAGTCTGAGACAAGGGCACAGATCTGAACTAAAAAGCAGCTGTCTAGCAGGCTCTTGCCTTGGTCAGGACATTGTGTTAGCTTCAGGAGGCATGCGTGTTAATGGTGACATCCGCCGGCGTTGACTGGAAACTACATTTCTTTTTTTTCTCTTTCCTTGCAGAGCCAGAGTGCTTACAACTTCATCTGGATCACTTCAGATCTGGTCTCCCTCGCCATAGTCATAGGGATTTTCTGTTTGCAAAAGTAAGTACAGTTTGGACTGTTGTCATGTGGAAAACGACAAACATACATTGACATTTGCAACAAACGCTCTGAATGCATAAGCACCTATCATAGAAAAATGATATCAAACACAGAATCTCGTTGAACACTCACCTTATTTATTCTCCCAACTTGGGTATTCTAAATGAGCACCATAGCATTTTGTTTAAAGCACTTACATAATGCATATATTTACTTTTTTGTAATGGTAGAGAAGAGCTGGAACCCTAACCCTAACTGGAGAGGAATAAAGAAAAAACATATTTACATTACATTAAATCATGTTTGTTTTTGTCAGGCTTTACTCTAATATTTGCTTTTTTTTCTTATGAATTATAGAACTTCAAAAGCAAAATATTATTCTTTGGTCAAATTAGCCACAACCAGTACACACGTGCATTTTTTTCCGGGGAACACAAGCGAAAAAACACTGGAGTCAAGTGATTTATTCATGTGTCCTTAAAGGATTATTTCACCTGAATTACAATGAAAGCGAGTTTTCTCAGTTTCTTCTAGTGGTTTCTAACCCTAAACCCTAATAGTATTGGTTTTATTTATTATAACTTCTGCTTCCACCCCAATACAATGGAATGCAATTTAATTTGTGGTTTATATTCAACATCAGAATGTCTTTCTAGAAGAGTAGAGTGCATCCAAACCATTACATTTTGGGTGAACTCATGAGGTCTTATTTTTCCATGCAGTGAGAAGCCTCTTGTGGCTGAGTATTCTTTAAATATTTAATTATGTTATCTCTTTTAGTGAACACAGTTAGGCTGAATGTCCTGCAGAAATACAGTAAATGTGTTTTTCTTCAGCTCATTAGCAACTTCAGAGCTTTCAGTACGTGTTCGGTCAAATGTGATCTAAATGTTGGCAGGAGCAGCAAATATCTGAATATATTAACATTTCAAATGTAAAGAAGCTGAAGGTTTTGAATTGTTTTCTGTGACTGCACAGTGTTAACACAAGCCTCTGAGTCTGACTGGACCTAAGCCGAGCCGTGTCCAGGCCGCTGCATCTACACGGACTGTTCAGTCTTATCTTTCTTATCTATTTTGTTCTTCTTTTCCTACTATCTTTTGTCTTGTTTCCGTGATTCTCCTCCATGCTGTAACCTCTCTTTGTCCTCTCTGTCCTCTCATTCTCTCTTTCTCCTTTGACATTCTTACTTTGTCCTGTGCTCTGCCTGATCTGCATGCAACCTTCCTCTGCTGCCCCCTGGCATCTGTCAGCTATCATATGATCAGGTAACTGCTGCGACTGCCTTGGCCTTTGTTTCTGCCTCCTTGTCTGTCCTCCTTGTGCTTTTTCTGCCCGACACCTCAAGGCCATTCCTTCCTTTCCTTCACTGTACTTTCTTTTTCCGTCTGCATTCCAGTAAATGTATGTATTATTTCATGTGTATCAGTATCTTAAAAACCCAGTCTGGCACCATCATTATTGAATTGGTATGGTTTAATGACACGGTTGGAATCATTGCCTCTATGCGCTTGTAATGGTTTGTATCTGTGTGTGCTGTAACAGGTGGAGGATAAGCGGGATGCAGAACTATAACCCAGAACAGATCATGCTGAGCGCTGTGACGCGTCGGTCCAGTCGGGACGTCAACATCATGAAGGAGAGGCTCATATTCTCAGGTGCAGCTTTAGCTACATTCACACCTGGAAAGAAATGGTTCAGGTTGTAACTGGACAGAACACACATGCATAAAATCCAGGTGGAAATACAACCATGAAAATTTGAGGTTCTAAACATGCAAATCAGCTTCTGTGGTGGGCACACATTAACCAGGATTCCCATTATGAGACAAGATCTGTCCAAAGACTCACTGAGGATGTGCGTTTACACGCCAGGTAGGAGGCAAGTGTGTCTCACATCTGAAACGCACACTTGACACATACTACTATGCAACACCAGTAGTCAGAGCTCGGAGTATCCCACAGTGCACCATGATCTACTGTGCAACACCAGTCCAGGTGTTGGTGGTAATGCATCTAGAAGCTGGCGATACATCTGACGATAATCAACAAAAATGAAATGAAGGAGTGGAAGTTTATGACTCAGATTCAACTGCAACACTACTATTCAAGTCCAAACACTACACAATTATGGCAGAAGCCCCCCTCCCCCCCAAGCTGGTTATTGCTTAAAATCAAAAATCTATTTCATCATTATAACACTGCTTATAATAATAATATAGCATATCTGATATTGTTAAAGATCTTATTACTATAATTTATTCTCTTCTGTCCTTCTTACGTACCTGCACCTACTCTCTGGTCACACACTTATGCTACATGAATACACACTTGCATGCAGGACTTTTACACCTGGACCCAATAATGAAGCGGATGCAAGTCACATAGGTGGGGGGAAGCCTGAGTATAGAGTTGTATGATAGTACCACTTGGGGGTGCCAAAGTTGAACATTTGAAAATTCTTCACATGGGGGCTTTTACTGTACTGGATCTGATGGTTCGGTATATAAATGCCAGCTGTTACTATAATCCAACTAAATCATTTCCAGCTAAATCAAGCACATGAAAATAGGTACATTTCGTTCAGTAGGGAGAGTAATAATTTATAGTAAATCTCTTTTTTCTTCTGTCGTCTTTTTCAGAAGTTAACAATGGGCTCAGCAGTACTGAGGAGCTCTCTCTGTATCCTGAGAACGGTTATGCGACATACTCTCATGGAGGCCTCAGTCGCTAAACTTAACACACTGCCACAGCTGGAAAATCTTGGATGAAAGTTTGATTTCCACGCTTGACTGACTGAAGGTTATGTCGGAAGAAAAAGGAGCCCGTCAGAGAAACTGACCTAGTAGTCAACTTACCCTGGAAGTGAAAACAACATGGATACCAAATATTGTCTAAAGTAAGGACAATGAAAGTTTCTTCTGTTTGGCCTATTGAACACATTATTCTTTTAGTTTTCCAGTTTTATGTAAAATATGAATGTGTGTACTATCTTTTTGTGTGTAATTTTTCCATGTTATTACATCAGGCTGCCAGTGTCAACCACATTCCTCAAAAATAGTTTGCCATTTACCTTTAAAGTTGCTGTAAGAAGTCATTTTCTTACTTTCAATGTTTAAAGGTGTACGCTGGTAAGTGTAGCAAGTATCTGTCCGTGTTGTCATCACTTACGGGGTTAGCTAAGCATTGGGCAAATGTCTGAGTCAGATGGTATTTCCGTCAGAACTGAATCCATGGAGCAGGTGACACTGGAGTTTGTGTTTCTCTGCCATCAAAACATTTGAATCATCATTTTAAAACAACTTCAAATCACATTTAAATGTAGAAGCTTCTTGGCTTCGTCTTCTTGGAACCAAAAGATGACTGCTGCTCATTCAGCAGACAAATGTGGTGATGTGCGTGGTGATTGGGCCACAAAGACATCTGACTACTATGAGAAAAAAATCCCTGTTCGCTTGAGTGACCTTCTCAAAAGTTGTATTTGAGCTAATAAAGACTGTAATGTTGTTTTTTTCCATGGGATTTACTTCACTGTTGTTTTTTTTAACAGAAGGAACAGGCTGTGTAGTGTCCTGTATTATAAACTGATGTAAATATGAGTTGTTTCACGTGTTTTTATTTTCTTCCCTCTGAGAGGATTTCAATGGTTTGGTTAAATCAATTGTGTATTTTATGTTTGGTTTTATTATCACAAGACTGATGTCTTCTTTTAATTGTGAAAGACAGATTAGGGCACATGTGAAAACGTATTTTCTTGCAGTTTCGTGGGATGAGGGGCTTTGGGGAGAGTATATTGTGGTCAGTGGTCTGATCTTTTTTCTGCCTCTTTTCTGTCATGCCATGATTGATTTACTTTATAGTCATATTAGCTAGTACAACTTTCACATGGCTGCCTTTTTGTTAAATTAATTGACTAGTGGAATATTGTCTAATAGTATTTGTAGTTTAGTGATTGGTAATATAAAACTACTTTTGCCGCAGACATGTTCAATAAAAGGAATATTTTCTCTTGTGCAGGTTGTCTTTTGTGGAAGAACAAATAAATGTAAAAACACTAAAAGTAAATGCTAAACATGGAAATAAAAAAATCTTCTGGATTCGCTTACAACAGAACTATTTATTTAACAGTTGCTTTTTCATGCATGCAGCCAGTACTGTGTGCCTAATCGTTAAGACATTTGAAATGAATATAGCAGCGTGTTTCGGTCCACCGCTTTGGTCCAGGCTGAAATATCTCAACCACTGGATGGATCTGAAGTTTTGTACTAAATATTTGTGATCTCAAGAGGATCCCACTGACTTTGGTGAGTTGACCTTTCCTCTAGTGCCGCTGGGAGGTTGACGATTGTGGTTTTGAGTGAAACAGCTCAACAACTGTTGGATGGATTGCTATTTGGTACACACATTCATTTGCTCCTCAGGATTAATTACAATAAGGTGATCCTCTGACTTTTCATCTAGCACCATCATCAGATCAAAATGTGTTAATGTGTCATAATGTGTCCACTTTGGTTTATAATCAAGACCAGCAAAACTAATGACAATGTAACTGGAACTTTTATCAAATGTTGTCACTATGATTACATACGTGTTAGCTGCTCAGAAAATTTGTAGTAAATATGTCTTACTCAACACTTTATACATTCAAACATGTATAACCTTAAAAATGATTAGGATAAACTAAAAATTGCATCATTACACTAAGTAGTATCAAAATGATGATCTGTAGAGCTGAAACGATAAGTCGATTAGTTGATCAGTTGATTTAGAAAAAAATTAATCGGCAGCAAATATAATATTCAATTAATCATTTAAGGCATTTTGTTTATCATTATTTATTAATAATTCACAGATTCCAGCTTTTCAAATGTGCTTTTTTTTCCTGTTTGTTTTGTGCAACAGTAATGTCATCTTGGGCTCTGGGGAAAATGTGATGAGTATTTCTCACTATTTTATGACATTTTATAGACCAAACAATTAATCAAGAAAATAGTTGGCAGATTTTTCATAATGAATAGAATTGTTAGTGTCAGCCCTAGACATCTGTACCACGTAAAACTGCCTACTTTTTACAGGATTGTCAGTGCAGTTAACCAATTTACCTGTAACGTTGCATAACGTTGGAGTGCATTCATATATTTCATGGTGATCATCTCTGATGACTGTTATAGGCCAAAGTAAAAAATAATTCTGCTAAAAAGAAAACAAATTCATAAATGTTTTATTTTATGAAACAAATGATCTTACAAGTTATAGACATGTCCAGTAGTGGAGTTGAGGATTAGCTGTGGTAAAGGCTCATCAACGGCATATTATTGAACATAATTAAAAATTACACAGCTGCAAGAAATAAAAAAAACAAAAACAGCTTTTGGTTCACAAGTCATCTTAACAGTAACATGAGGAATCAAACAGGCATTGGAAAGTAAGGATTATTCTCAGGGAGCTGATGTCTCCGCTGGTGGAGGGTATTCAGAGATACAGTGAAGGTCTGTGTCCTCTGTGCTGTTGTCGGGGCTGTCAGATGGCATGTGGCAGCCGGAGTCTCTTGGGCAGTTGTTCATATCTGCCTTTGTGTTCTCTCTGGGGGTCTTGGCCTCTTGATTGGCCTCATTCTCCAACTGCCTATCAGCTGTAAGCAGAGAAGACGCGTTGGTTGGATGTACCGTCACAGAGTTGAATGGATAAGCAGTAAGTAATCCTTTACAGCCATTATTGCCACGCATTAAGGCTCAACGGCCTCTCTGTCTGCTGCTACTATCCTCGTGTGTCCTCTCTATTCTCAGCAACACTCTTTGGGGTTATCCTGTTATCCTTAACCTCTTTAGCTGTGAGCCAGATACCCTCCCAGTCTTTGCTGTGTGAGGTGCAATGTCACTTGTCCCTTTTCCTTTCTGAATCCAAACGTCTCAGCGCATCTTTCTCCACTTTAAACACACATCACTAAAATGTGCGCGATGACACTGCCCTTGGATGACTTTTTCTGGCTTCCCCATTACTCACAGCGCAGTTGCTGCAGGGAGTCGACAGCGGCGAGCAGACGATGCCTGTGCTCTGGATCAGTCACATTCAGCTCCGTCAGGTGATGCTCCCTTAGCCTCATCAAATCATCTACTGTTTGGTAACCGTTCAGCTGCAGAGACGAGGAATACTCCTGGGGAAACACGAAAGCAACACACCATTCAAAAGGTGAAGGAACACCATGTTGTATGGAAGACGGTTGTTGCTACATTAAGATCGGTCCAACACACATATAAGATCACAATACCTCCAAACTGAGGCGCTTTAACACTTCCTGGACAGTTGATTTCTGTCTCACTCTGTGGGTTTGTGTGTCCTTGTGTGTATCAGGACTCTCCTCTGTTAGCACATCCACATAAATGAACTTGAAATTTCCCATTCTGCCATTCAGCATGCCAGTCCATATTCCCATGGGGGGCTTGGCGATGATGTCAATCACATCTCCCACCTGAATGAAAGTTTAGCTTCATTGCATTGATTTTACTGGGACCATGGACAAAAAAAGGCATTAATCACATCATAATTTGTGTTTAGTGCTAATAAATAAATAAATAAATGTTCAGTGTGTGTGAATCTTATTAGGTTTGAAGGTATATAGTCATGAACTAGTACAAGACACATTGGACTAAGGTTTTGCTTATTGTAAACATTCCTACTGTGCATACTGGCAATGAAGAAATCCATTCCTAATACGCTTCCAAAATAAGTGATGGGATACAAAATCCACATTGCTCGCGTCAAGCTAAAAAACATATTCAGCTAATATGAAGATTCAGCGGGTAATTAAGATCTTCCAAACTTATAGTCTTCTTAGAAAAATTCCATTTTACTAATTTTATACTAAGATATCGGCTAGATTTGAAGTGCTGAGTCATACAGTTAGTTTATTTCATTTTCATCTACTTTCCAGACTTGTTTACCTTGAGTTTGAGGGATTCTGTGTCATATGGACTTGGCACAAAGTTTGTATGGACTCTGGCTCTTCCACAGAACAGTTTTGTGTACAATAGATCCTCATCCAGCCTCAGACTGTCTCTGTTACTGGAGCAGCCTGACCCACTGGTGACTCCACCTGGAGAACAGCAGAGAAACAAGAGGGTTCAATAAAGGGCAAGCGCTCCATTCTGTCATTTTCTAATTGAGTCATTCACATGTCAGTAATAAGTCAGCCCAAGTCTGAGTCGAGGTTTTGGTTTTTTGATTTGTCAGAGGTCAGTGTAGCTCTACAAATTAGTGCATCTAAAGGGGAGTAACAGGATACTTGCATGTACAGTCAAGGATTGCATAATTCATCAGGTTGTGGTGTGAAGAGTACGCTTGGCTCTGTGCCTGAAGGTGCTTACTTGATGAGGAGCTTTGTCCACTGTAGAGGCTTTCCAGAGAGTTACAGGACAGCCTGTGTCCTTTAGTAAATGGTCTCCCACCACCAGCTTCCCTCCTCTGTGCTTCATCTTTCTGCGTGTTTCCGTTCTGCACAGTAAAAAAAAAAAAACACAAGTTGCATTTTTATTCTGCCATATACGCTTTTGGTTTTTTTGTCATTTGTTATCTTCCACTACAGACACACAAAAGAGAAAGCTAACCAACCAGAAAGCTGAGTCAGGGCCCTAAGCTGCTGTGTTTGATTCTTCATGTGATGGAACGGCTCAGTATCCCAGGTTATGCTGGGACACGCAGCTCCTCTGGCAAGCAAAATACTTAATCCTGCAAGAGTTGCCTTGCTTTTTATAGCTGAGACCTAGGAGGTGTGTGGCGAGCTTAATCCCCAACTACCTGTGCTCAGCTTTTAACTTCCTGTTCCTGTGCAGGGACCTTCACACATGGACCATATTTGCATCAGTCCATCATAGCGCACTTTAAGATTTGGGATGGACTGTACTTTAACTGTACTGGTATGGATCTTACAAAAAATATGATTTGTTTTGATCGGGTTCTGAAATTTGAACCCAGAGATGAGAAATAATTTGGTTGTATGCCAATTTACCAGTGCGTATAAGTGAAGGATGCTGGACGAGCATGTTTTACTCTTAGTTATTGCTTTGTTTTAAACTGCCTACATATATGTATTTTTTGAAAAACAGCCTTAATGCTCTAATCTAGAGGACATTTCAAGAGGCCAGAATTACACATTGATCGTGTATGTTTCACTGGCGTAGACAGTGTGCTGTCATATTATGGCAGTTTTATCATCTACTAGCTGATGGGAGTCACATTACAGATATCAGTTAAAAATCGAAATCTAAAAATGTACCTGTGATATATCTAATAGCTTTCTGACTAGTTGAGGCATGAATTTAAGTTATATTTAATTACATCTTTAGTAGTCTTCTTGAGCTTTTAGGTTATTAGAAAGTATACAGACGACATGTATGCAGTTTAGTGAATGCATGTGTGGATGTTTATGTGAGCAAATTCAATTCATGATACACCCGCCATTTACTCATGCATTAAATCATCGTGACATTAGTTATGCATCACTTAACGCTTGTGTTCTTCTCTCTTATCATAAAGTGCAACTCAACATTTTAATGAATTAATGTTTTGACTGGTCACGCATGAATTGCAAATGTGTGTAATGTCAGTGTGGTCAAGATGCGGTAAAATGGCTGGATGGTGGGATGTCATCTGTATGTTAAAAGAAGGCAAAATACATGTGGAAGTATCTCAAATGGACATCCAAACAGAAGTGTATTAGTGATGTACTGGAGATATCAAAAACACGATGTGTTAATCTAGTTGAACATCTGCATGCGTGTTGGACCTGTCAGTCTCTGCTGTACTTTTAGTGCTAGTTTTGACGCTAGTCCATAAAGACCCTATCTGTAAAATGGCAAGTGATTGCAGTCTGGCAGAACAGGTGTGGTGCTGACAGCAGTGTCTGGTTGGTAACAGATGTTATTTCATTAGGTGTGAACCACAGCAAATGCAAGGTAGCATGAACTGAAAACTGGATGTATTTACATAAGCTTTGTGGAGTGCATGACATACACTGATGGCTGTCAGCGTTTTCTCTGGCGACGCCTTGACGTGCTTCCTGTCACTATGTGATGAGGTCTCCTTTTCCCTCCTCTGCAGCCTCACTTTGGTTGGATCACCAATCTGCTCCGGCTTTTGCTTTAAAAACAAAGCAAACTGTACAAAGAGCTCTCGCCCACAACCGCCAAATAAACATGGTGTACATTTTCTGTGTTTTGGCGTGGTGCGCAGGATGTTTGAGAAAGCTAAATTCCTAGATGGACAAGCTGACAGATTGAGGAGATTGGTTCGCTTACCAGAGAGCTTCCATCATCCTGGGGTTTCATTAAAGGCGAGCGCTGTCTGAACACATCAAATCTCCCAAATCCGGTCGACTGTTTGGGTAAAAAAGAGATTAAAATGTGTGTTTTCTTGTGACAGATGGGCATATTATCTGACTGTGTGTGTTCTCCTTGTGACCCATCAACATAAACAGTTTGTGTTTACTCCCTGTTCATGAGTTGTGTTCTGAATTAGGTTAAACCCTGGCAGCCATCCAGTTCTTAGATATGGCATATTTTTTTATATCCCGAGTCAAAATATTGTGTCTGGTATTTGAATGGTCATGTTGCACTGATTTTGTACTATTTTCTATGTTAAAAAGGTATTATTTTAGTAGTATGTGGGGAAAGGTTCACTTTTATTTTTATCAATATATTTTAACAGTTTATTCCATGTTGTTACTTTTTACAGTCGTGCAAGTCATTAAAGGGGAGACGGTATGAGTGCAGTCTAGCGGCCATTCAGTGCTCCTCTCAGAATGTCTGTTACACTTACTCTTGGCTTATTTCCCAACATTGACCGTTGGTAAAGTGAGGCCTCACTGTCACGCTCTAATTGGTTGGATAAGCAACAGCAGATACCATTGTCCTCCCTATCCATAGTGCATTGTTCCCTATAGTGTGATACCTTGGCCATTTTAATACAAATTCTGAGTTAATGTCTCTCTCTGAAACATGCAGTCATGTGCTCTGATGTGTGGAGTCTCATTTCAGTCAGTAATTCAACAACACGGCCTCCCTGTTCATAACTCCATCACTAGTGAGGGAAGAATCACTGAGCTAATAAAAAGCAAGTTGATATTTGTGATCAGGAAGAAGAAACTGAAGAGGACGCTGGGTTTAGGGATGCTGCTACAGTCCCCAGGGATTTGTAATAAAGTCAGAGAAGCTTTTTATTACCCCTTGATGAGTTGGGCATATTTACTCAGACCTGCCTGAGATCAGCTGTACAACACTAATTCTGGATGCTGCTGCATGGCACTGTCATGAAAATGGAAATTCTTATACAGTTCTGTATTAAATGTCACGTACTGTAATACTGTCATTTATGAAGGCTTTCTTGTTCGATAGCGGAAAACCTTACTTTTCAAATAATGTAGGCTGTTTGTCAAATTGTAATTTACTGTTGTATTTCCATAACATTGGAGAACTCAAAAGAAAATTAATTGTCAAAATTGACTTTCACTCCCTAGTACTGGTCAAGATCAGTTCTTCAGGCATGAGCCTCTTTTCATTAATCGTTCCTGGATCTCCCTGACGTTCAGCTCTAAAACCACCGTTTATTTCCTGGTTTCCAAACTCCATCTGTGAACTCTAATTATATTATATTGATGTATATTGTCTGGTACGTAGCAGAAGGGAGTTACAAACTCAATTTCACTCTATAACCTGTTGTATTGGGACAAAATAAATCTACCTACCTACCTAAGGGATCTCAATTGAGAGAACTTCCTTTGCCAGTTTTCAGCAGGACGGTCAACCATCTTCCAATACAGCCGTGTGTAACGTCATCATGTCTGTTTTGTTTTCATAATGATTATCTTATTAAAAAGAAGTTTATGACGCATTAGTGGTGCTAACTGAGGCTGAAAATTAAACTGTAAAATGTTTGGTTCAGAATATCTTAAAAGTATTAGCTGGAAATTTCAATTACAGTTCAGTTAGTCTAAATGTTCCCTAAAGAGCTCTGAGGTGCAATTAGAAAATCAGGCCCTGCAAAGCACAGTTTAATGATACTTTGGAGACCTGCGAGACCGCTCCAGAGAAATGACAACAACAGAAATAGTGAGAGACATCATAGACTGCAGCCTTAGTGTTGGTTTACTGTCACATAATAGTTGAAAGAAGGAGTGAAAGGCTGATGGAGCAATAACTTCCACCATGTTTCAATAAAGCTAAAGAGAAAGCCACTTAGCTTAGCACAAGGACTGGAAACAGGTGGAAACAGCTAGCCTGGCTGTCTGAAGGTAACAAAATCTACCTTAGAGGAACTCTAAAGCTCACAAATTAACACATTATATCTCGTTTGTTTAATCCGTGCAGAAATCAAAGTGTAATTGAGTTATAAATGGTGGTTCTGTGCAGAACTATTTCTTGGCTGGGGGCAGTTGCCAGGTAAATACCGGAGACTCCAGAAAGTTACTGTTCCCAGCCAAGAAATAGTCCGGCATATAAGCAGACTATAGAGCTCAACTTGTTTTTACAGTAAGGTTTTTGTATGGATTCAACAAGCAAAACATTGAACTTTAGAGCTTTATAATGTAGCTTCATATTTAACAGACATGAGCGTAGTGTCAATCTTCCATGTAAACCTCCGCCACAACGCGAAGAAGTGGATTTGAACAATTCCATTAATATGCAACATAATGTGCTAGATTTTGAGGTAAAACTATGCATTGACAACGCGGCTGGTTTAGCTGGTTAGAGGCTGTCAATCTGGTCTCATTTTCTGATAGTAACAACACCAAGGCACATCTTACTGTGTTTTGTGAGAGCTGCTGATCTGTGATGGAGCAGATCTTTTGTGGAGGAGACAGATCAGACTGTTTACTGTCCAGTTCCTGTATCAAACTCTCGAAACGATCCCATTCTGTCGTCCGGGGCAGAGACAAGGTGCCACCGCCGACCATCAGTTCATGCTGAGGTTGGTGACAGGTGTGGTGTAAGGGAGTCCAGGGCTGTGGGCACTCAAATGGGTTCCACAGATAATGTCCAGCCTGTGGGATCCACACTCCTTCCTCCTCTGAATCTTCATGGACATCTTTGGCCTGTTGTTGCTGCTGCAGTGGTGACGGAGCGGCTTTAGAGGACTTCTTCTCTGATCTCTTCCCCAGCCCGATGCAGGTCAGCATTGGATTGTTGTTGCTCAATGCATCTGTTTGATGTTATAAAGATGACCAGAAATGGCTGTTAACAATAACAGATTCAACGCAGCTTCTTGCACAGGCTGAAGAACATCATCCACAATAACTCACCATTATTCTCAGATGTGCTCTTCCCTTTTCCAGCTCCACTCTGATGTCCCTTCTTTGTTTGCACCAGATTCTGTAACTTTTTTAGTTTTCCAGTGGTGTGTATTGATTCTGCTGTGTCAGCTGCAGTTTCACCCCCCTGTAAAAAAATAAGTGCATTCATTGCAGTGTACACACATTCAGCACTAACTGCATCGATTATTGCTTTATAAAAGTGGAGGAATAGAGTTTTTATAAACATTACTGTCCTCTATCATTACTAGAAAAAGATAAAGTAGTCTTTTCTAATTGTGCCCATCCCCTACTGCCAAATGTATCTACATGTAATGTCAGATTTATTTGTAATTCAGCATATGAAGTACCACAAGTTCTTTTTTTATTCATTTAGAAAATTTTGGTGGTCTTCATTTAGTGGTAGAAAGTAAGTATATTTCCACTTTATGCAAATTTATAATTCTACTCATTGATGCATAAGGTACCAGTAACTAAAATACAAGTAAGAGACAAGTACAGACATCTTGGCTTCATGTAGTTAAAGTATCATCAAGTAAAAGTACTCGTTCTGTAGTAAAACGTACCCTGTGACAGATGGATTGTTATACATGACTTTACAATATTACATTGATAATACTGATGCATCAATGTGTGAGCAGCTTTGAAGTAGAGTTGGTTTTAACTAAGTTATATACACAAATATGTTGCATTTTTACAATATAGCCTATGTACAATATTTCCCAAATGTAGTGGAAGTATGAAGTAACATAAAACAGACATAGATTTTTCAAACATATTATAATGTTTTGAAGTATAGACCAGCTCTAGATTAAACCAGTGGTTCCCCATTATTCTGACAGTGTATAGTTAGGGCCCTCTGATGCCTAGATGCCTGAGCTGTTAGCATTTCCACCATAGTGATATAAATGGTTTCATTCAAAGGTTCTATGTGTTACTTTCAGAAAACTCTTAAAGGCACCGGAGGTCCAAAGAGGTCAAACTCAAATATGGGAACACCTGAACTACCTAACTGTATAAAGTAGTTAAAACTAGCTCCAGATCGAGCAGCTACAACAGTGAAATGCTTCTTACACAGTCATGAATATATAATTATATAATGAGGTTCTCTCATGTAGGTACTGCCCAGTCACTTGCTCCCTTTTGTGTGGATGAGATTGCTCTCCTGTTGTGATGCCCCCCTCAACTATCAGCTGTTAGAATGAAAAGCCTCAAACAGTACACAATCCAGGTGTCCTAAAGAACACAGAGCAGATATAAAAGGGCCTTATAAAGGAGATTACAGATTATAAAGGAGATTAAAGTCAACAGTGGATCTGATTTGGCTGACATACAACTGACCTCCCTCAGGTTTACTTCACATTCACTTTTTACCAGTCTTCCTCAGTTACATAAGCAGGGCGTGGGAGATGAGCAAAGATAAACAACCACTGACATTTCCCCCACACGCACTAACATGTGCACAATCCTCCAGATGTGTCAGCTATCTACCCGCCTGTTTAAAATGCTTCGATTCATCTTGTTAGGTCATATTTAAATGTAAACCTCTGTTGCAAACTGCTCTGCCAACATTGTTTAAATACAACATTCATGCCTATAAAGCACACTGAACTGAACTGAACTTTATATAAGGTGACAGTAACGTGGTTTTACCTGAGCTTGTAGATCTGTCTGCGTCCTGTCAGAGTTCAGCTCCTTCCCTCTGTCATCTCTTGTCAACATCCTGCTCTGACAGGGAGCTTTACACATCTCTGTAGGATCAACCCACACAGGTCAGACAACACTTTATTCCCCCCTAAATCATATATTGTCAAACATAAACATCAATAATGTGATTCCCAGATATGTGGTAAATAACACCAGCTACTCTTACCTTTATCATTTTGTACTTTCATCTGGCTTCCTTCAGCTGTCATACACACACTCTGATAAGTTCTCTGATATTCTACATTAATTGCTTCTGCAGTCTAATCTCTAACCTCAGTGGACCATGGTTTCCAGGTATAAGCACTTTGGTTTTACTCAGGTAGACATATTTCTTTACCTCTGTTCTGGACTTTCATTTGATGAGATAAGTCCTTCTTGTCCCCTGATGACATCCAGCAGACATGATTAATGTCTTTGTCTGCAACAGATACGGTGGAGGGGAAGGAGAAACAGCTGTCACATTGTAACTCTATAGGAAAAAAAGGTTCAACATGTAGCCTAATACAGGATCAAGAGTGGTGTGAGCCTGAAGTTACTTTTGCAAGTCCATACCATCTGATGAAAAAAAAACTCAAAACATTAGAAATATGAACATCAGTGATTGTGATAAGTTTGTACCAACCTAATGTGTTATTGTCCATGGGTGATGTTGGCACGCATGACCTAAAATGACAAATAATAATGACAAATAATTTAATTTCCTACTGGGTAATAAGTGGTTTTTAATGAGTGAAATACAAACAGATCTACAGAAAATCTAAAGGAACGATTATTAAGAAATGCACTGTGCAGTGTGTGATTACTTAAAACATATTACTGTACAGAATGAGCTAATTAAACTCACATACCTTCTGTTATTCCTTTTTACTTTTACTGTACTCTGCGGCCGGCCCTTGTTGACACACAAACAGAAATAACTTAAAGCAAAACCAGAAAGGAAAGAAATAAAAAGGAAAGAAACAAATAGGAACAATAAATAGGATGCACTTGCCACTGGCTAACTGATCTGGATACTGTTATTGTTACAGTGAGTGTGCAGGTGTCTGCTGTGCCTTTTTTAGCCATGAAAAGAAGAAAGAAGCTCAATAGATGTCAGTGTCGGTCCACCACTTTGGTCCAGACTAAAATATCTGCAAGTCTAACAGCATTCACCTCAACCTCAGCTGTACTTTGTATTTTGTGCTAATAAGTAAATGTTAGCATGCTAAGATGGTAAACTTAGATAGTGAACATGGTATCATTATACCTACTAAACATCAGCATGTTAGCATTGTCATTGTTTGCCTGACAATCTAGCAATGTGATGTTAGGCTAAATGCAAGAGGTTTTGTTAATGTTTGACAAATGTTTCACCACTTCAACTGTATGTGCATGACTCAGAAACTAACTGCTAATGCCATGACAGAGAAGGTGATCATGGGAAACATTACACCTGCTTTACATCAGCAAGTTAGGACTGCCATTTCAAACATGCTGACATTAGCATTTAGTAACTAGTAGCATGGCTGTACACTCTCAGTGTTTCCTTTTTAATTACATTGCATTTGTACCTGCATCAGCTGTGCAGGAACAAATTCCGGTCTAACGGTATATAAGTAAAACATGCCTGATCAATACCACTGTTAACCCTCTTTCTGGTTGCCAGAGGTTGACCCGTGGTTGTGTAGAGTATCTTTCATCCTGTATCACACAGACACTTCTTCAGCGGCCAGTAAGTGATCTAAGGAGTGTCTTCAAACTTTGCGATTTCATATCTGTTTGAATGTTTGTTGGATGTAATATCTACTAGGTCAGTGAAACTTGAAGATAATAAAACTTACAAAATTGATAGATGGATCTGAGCCGCCCCATTCAGGCTTACGCCTCAGAAGAGCAGGACTGCACTGGTACTTGGGTAGAACTTCCTTTAGTGTTTGGCTGTAGGCTGGTTTATATATGCTTTCTGTGGAGCCCTCCTGGAATAAAAAACAGTCATCAGTCTGCATGGTGACAACAGCCTGGTTTAAATACTACACCAACTGATTCTTTCTATACTAAGTTTTAGAGTGAATATATGCTGTTGCTGGGGCTCATCAAGGAGGAATAGTAAAAAATCAATGGAATGCCTTATATCATCCAAAGATGAACACGGTCTGGAATCTACACTGGTGTGAATATTATACATGCACAGCGTGTCACTCAAACATGTACAATCAATACTAATCATAGTTTTGGTGTACTTTTTGTCAGCAGCCTGCCATTAACTCCTTGACGTAGTCAGTGTCTGGCCATGTGAAAAGAAAATGCTGGATTATGTTCTTTTAAATAAAGTATTCATAACATTTTAACAGAGTCTAATTGTGGGGTTCTGCTGGGGGGGATCTAGATTTATGCCCTTAGTATTTCTAAAATCCTGGCTACAACCTCAAATAATTGACAAACTTTTGATACAAACTGCTCTTTGTGAATTGGCTCCTTGTTCTGCAGGATCAGCTACATCGGCAATTATGTTTATGAACAGAACAGGATGGGACTGATGGGCAAGAAGCCCAATTATCTAAACTAGACTAGACTATCGAGACTGTGATACGGATATGACAACTTTTGATATGTTTTAGGTTGAATGTTTTGGATATAAAGCATCTGATTTTTTTCAGTTGTTATCTTTCCTCTTTTTAAATCACATATATTTATAGACATGTTCAACCTTAATTAGTGAGACCACTTGTGTAACCACTGACATAACTGTCCTGGTTTGCTCAGGTGAACAGAACATCTTATGCTATTGTGTTATCACAATTTTGAGTTCACAAGGCTGATGACAATTTGTACTGTTTGTGTCGCTAAATTTGGAGTAAAGCCCCAAACCTGGCACTGAGTGGAAGAGGAGTCAGCATGGTATTACCATCCACCACTATAAATGGTCACTCATTATCTAATTGAACATATGCAACCGTGTTACAACTGTAAATGTAAACAACAAACCACTATTATAACAAATTGATAAACGCCTTCCATCTCACACAAGTTGCACTCTTTTTATGATTTATTTTCTTGTGTTATTAATTATCACATTGTTGAGCTTGTCATGTTAAGACCAAGCAGATGCACATTCATTATTTCTTACATATTAGGTGATAAGAAATTTAAGAAATAGTAGGCTACTTCTGCACTATACGTAACTGTGATTACATTACATAACATTAGAAAGGTGATCAATTGTTGGAAAATGTGTTAGGTTAATAGGATTATTATAACATTATATAATGATTAATTACACTTATGATAAGTTATTACATTTACAGTTGAAAGCAGCCAACACAATGCAGCAGGCGCAGCTGAGGAAGACTGCATCTAAAGAACCTAATGAATCTAACAAAGAGGGAAAGTTGTTTAGCAATTTTGGCTCGTTCCCCAGAGAGTCCATTTCAGATCCTTGTCAACAACAATAACATCACAAGTCTCTCCCACAGCGGCACGCTGAGTTTCCTCTGCTTACCACCTCTTTTAAGGCTGCAGGGACTACACAAGTGCTCCTGACAGACCAAACTAAAAATCACAGGAATTCAAAAGAGGATGTATCTTACCAGAGAGAGGCAGAACAGGTTCATGTTTGAGGGTCCGTGCCAAAGACAATGGAGCCAAGTAGAGACAAGCTGCACACTGTGGCCTCTGGGATGCACAACACACTTTTTACACACCACCCTCCCACTCAAACACACACACACACACACACATGCACCCTAACACACCCCTGTGATGCAAAAGCTCACGCAGCCCCCATGCTGTCTACATCCCAGTGGCCTAATCCCTGTTTGAAATCCCTCACGTAATCCAATAGCTGCAGTGTTCCATCGCTGTCCAGCGCTGGCCTCAGGAAGAGCCAGGTCACCCGTGACAACAAGACAATAAACAGCACGGGCCAGCTTTGTTTGGTATGTGTCTGAAATGGTTATGATAATGACCTGATAGAGATTAAGTAACCACTAAGTGAGGTTAAACTTCTGGTGGCTGTGTTTACTGAAAAACTAATTTACTAATGAGTTTCAGTTATTATGCAGAAAAGAAATATGCTTTGAGGTTTTGTCACATGGTATTAAATGTGCAAATGTGTGTGTGTTTCCAGATGGGAGCTGCAGACACACTTACCTGCTCTCTAAGTAGTGATACTTGAGGAAATATCTGTGTTTCACTCCGACAAATCCCATAAATCTCTAAATACAAACCTCTTATTACAGTCATTTCTTTCCATCTATTCTGAGGATAAACACGAGTTCAAGTTTTGAGCTTCCGGTTCTTATTCTCTCAAGGCGGTGGTCCCAGTGAGCGGGCTTCTGAAAATAACATAATTATAATGATTATTTATATCAGGCTCAATGTGAATCTTCTCTTGATTCCCCCCCCCTCCCCTGTACAGTTGTCTACACCTTCTCTTGTCTGTCTTTTTTGTCTCTCATCCAGAGATAAAGAAGACCTTTTATGTTGTTGTGATCAGAGCTCCTCTGCAGAATTAGGTCAGACAATGAGAACGATGTTTCTATGGTAATAAGAAACACATATGCTACCTATATTTCACTCAAGAGGCTTTCTGTTATTTATCCTACAGTGTCTGCAGAAGGGTTTCATTTTACTAAAAAATGACATTTTATAGATTGCAATGCAAATTAAATCTGGAATAGCAATTTTGTATATACATATTTAAATTTGTGATTAAAGCGGTGCTCCAGCTATGTAGCATTTTACATTCATAAAGTCTGGACACTGACGAAGGACAGATTAAAATAAGAAGCAGCAGAGGCCTAGATTCTGACTTTGGGTCCCTAATATTTCACCTTTCTTAGTGCACTCCACTAGCATCTGATGATAATGATGCAATCCTTGGATTTCACATATTAATATGAAACAGGAAAGCTATTTTCAGGATGCCGCCCACTACAAGCGCAACTCAGCAGTTGTAATGGTCTGTCTAACCTCCGGGCTACCTTTCACCTCGAGCCCATTGTAGCTCATCTGGCTTAAGACACAAGCCTCTAAGTAGCTATTAGTGCTGCAGCATATTCAAATGTTATGGCTGCATAATTTATATGTTACGGCTGCTGCTGCTGCTGCTGGATTGTGACGCGCTGCAGAACATCTGGTAGAGATGAGGTACTGATTTGCGATATCATGTTTAAAAATTTGATGTCAACCTGATTGAGCCATCTCTAGAACTCGGCTGAATTATGTCAGGCCCCAAAACATCCAAACAGTGCTTTGCAGTTTTATGACCAAACCTGTTCAGGTGGCCTCCTTCTAGTGGCAGAAAAAAATACTCTGCATTATTATTAATGTCTGTTGACATTTTAAAAACATACTTAGTTGGTTGCAATGTCCATTCATAGTGTGTTTTAACAATTCTTTACCAAAACTGAACATTACCTTGCAATAGAAGGTTTTCTGAAGGTTTACAGTGTCATCAATGTGATCAATCTTATGTTGTTTCATGCATATTTATTGAAATATGAATGTGATTTTCAGATATTTTTAACAAACATACAGCGCCTGATCAGTGAAATCATGGTGACACTGCTAAGATTCGCCAGATTTAAGTACAGAATTGTTTGTGGCTTCAACCACCTCATTTTGATCACTGGGGGAATAGCACCACTGCCAAAAAAGTGTGTTGAATTAAAATTGAAATTGAAGTGAGCAAGAAATACTTCTTGTGTTTGGGTACAAGGCAGCAATGGTTTGTGGAAAACAAAAAGAGGAAAAAATGAGCTGTTGCACCACCCCACAGCTATTCATTTTATTTATTTGTCTTTAAATAACGTGTTTATGTTTTTATTTCACAAGTTTTACACATTGCTCTTGTCCATGCAAATTAAATAAGTGATATTATTTCACTTAAATGGAGGCAAATGTATGCAGATTGTTGAAAAAACACTTGGATATGAAAATGGATATCACAGCCTTTTGGTGGAGGCTCATGTTTCACTCAGACTTTGTGCTCAGTTGAAAAAACAATGAGTGATTTCACTGTTGCCCATAGGAACCAAGAAATGCAAACACACTTTCCGTTGGATTATTATGATTGGGTCCATCGAAGGAGATCTGAAATAGCAACACTCCTCCACAAGACGTGTTCAAACTGTACCAGTTTCATCATGTAGAGATCCTATGCACATTAGAAAATAATTACCCCTCATCAAAAGGCCATTTTTGTGGTTTGAACAGTGTACTGCCCTCTACTGGGAGTGGTCAGGAATACATGTTTAAATGTTTACAGAGTCAGCAGGCCTCACTTTAATCCCTGAGTGTTCCTACCCAATAATCAGCAATGACAAAAATAATCTCCGCTGTCTTTTGTGTCCAGAAGAGACTGAAGCACAGTAAAGAAAAAGCCTCACGGTGAAACATCACAATGCATCATGAGCTATTAACAATGTTTTTAACTTTGCAAGATTTGAGCTATTTACTGTAGTTGACACTCTTCCCTGCCCAAGGAGCAATTCAGTGTCTGAGCCCTTCGCACACAGAGAACAATCACCAGGTCAAACTTCTGTAATTTACTGTGCAGTCTAATTAAACTAACACCACGAATCCCTTTTCTTTCAGATATACCCACTCACTTCTGCCAGAGTCTTCTTGCTTTGATCTTAATCATCACATTAACCTCTTGTCAGTCATTGTATCATTTCCTGGAACTGGAACGCCGACTTTAGTCTGGCTGTTTTATATTGCTCCTGTAGATGGCAGCGTCACACCTACTGATTTCAAAGTGTCTCTGATCTTCTCTCATCCGTCATTCAGTGGCGGAGCCAGACCTAACATAGGGGTGGCCAGGCTGAGGTCAGTACTCCCTTTGGGGTGGCAAAGAAATAGTAACTTGTTTAGTCTTTCTGCGTGGTATGGCGGTGCACAGAGGTTAGATTATGATGTTTGCATATGGTTAAAATGTTTGTATGTAAAATAAGCCCTAATGGTCTTTAGTTTGCTTTTATTGAGAAGCAGCCATGGAAAATGACATTTATACCAAGTGAAAAATAGGTGACCAGAAATATGGTGCCCTACCCCAGTACTTCATATTAGTAATGTCAAGGAGCAAAGAATGAAAATGGAAATTTTTTAGCTTTATCTTCCACAATGTTAAATATTCTACACGTGTTTATTTAAATTATTCAATATCAGTTTTGTAATAAGCCGGAGTATGCAAGAGCCTTGGAAGAATGGCTGTCATGGGATCTTATATTAGTTGCATAAATTGTATCCAATGCAGCGACAGTTATTCTTGAAAAGCTTAATTAAACGCCGTAATTCTTCTTTTGACAGTCTGAATATAATATGATCCTTCAGCTCTTATTAAACGCCTTCCGCTGTGTGTAATTATAATATTAAATCACAGTTACACCTTCAACCTAAACCTGCTGCTGCTGTAGGTACAGTTTGACCTCTAGTCTCAGGAATAACACAGTACAATTCACAATTTACTCAGGCGTGTTCCTACAATCAGGGGATGGAGACTACACCTTTGACCCTGCTCTCAACCTCCCATCTACCCAGCATTCCTGCGCTGACCTCTGACCCCAGGACACAGAATCTCAGCCCAGAGGCTACGACCTGTTGTCCTTTATTACGACCTTTTGAACTTTTATCACCCCCCAGTCAAAAAGTGAAACAGTTTGTCCCCTTGGAATAAATGACCTCTCTTCCCCTTGTCCGGCAAAGGTATGTGAGTACGTTGACCCCGCTCAACCTTTCATTAGCGCTTCCTTTTATTACACTGCTTCCTCCCTACTGCCTCGTCAGCGCGCCACAGAGCGGGGGATGGTGAGAGGAGGGAGAGGAGAGGGAGGAGAAGCAAAATGAGAAAGAGGAGGAAAGCAAAAGAAAGCCAGAAGAGAGAGTGAGCTAGAGAGGCGGGGAGAGGTGGAGAGAGAAATAGATAGGGATGTAAAACAAGGGCAAGAGATAGAGCAGAGGAAAGACAGATTGGCAGCATCTGCTGCGTTGACTGAAATGTCACCTTTAAATGGCTTCCCTGTCCTTGGTGCCGGACCTCCCTATCTGATCTCCATTCTCCTTGGGAGTTGTAGTTCTGATGACTTATGTAGGACACAAAACAGATCTCTTGTAAAATATAACCCTAGTTCAAGATAAGCTTGCAGCAAAAGGATAAACAATTTCTCATGCCTCCTGTGGCTCTGTGAGTTCTACTGAAATTGACCATTTGAATGTTAAGTCAAAGGTCATTGTGCCATGTATGAATAAGATAATTGAATTTTGAGGTTTGCGGATACTGAGAGCTTACTGGGGAAGCAGCCACTCATCCCAACAACTGTAATTCATTCCCCCCACCCCCTGTTTTGCTCTCATATGTTATGAAATCTATTTTCTTGAACACTGCTGCTACAGTAAGACGCCTCTGCTCATCCTGAGCACATTTAGCTTAGGTAGAGCCGAGTTGGATAGATACAATTTTAAATGCAGCAATGAGATTTTTGCTTCAGTGCTCCCACTGCTAAAAAATAGAATATCCCAAAAAAAGCCCCAAAATAGGAGAACATTTATTGTGTATTTCATACAAATCTCATGCAGCTAAATCCGCCCTAAGGCAAGAACAGCACATCCACATCTGGAAGGTGGCAGGTCTTGTTAACTGTCACTTGACATGAGATGCAGTTGACATGTGTAAGAGATATGTGTGTATGTGTGTGGGTGTGTGTACAGCGTGGGAGGGGTAGAGGATCCACAGCATTCTGGGGCTAAGTCAGATCATGCTGACATTGTCTCCATGTGGTGGCTTGCCACAGGGCACAGCGGTGCCACACTTGATGTCATTTCTATCTTAAATGTCACTCTCAGTAAGCCCATCACCATCCACTGGCTCGTGTCCCCGGAGCCACGTTCACCCTTCAACCTTACAGTAATGCTGCAAAGAGGAGAGGGCAGCCAGACCTCGTCTCCGGCTCTCTAAGGCTGCTGTTTACTCCTCTTTTACATAATCTACTGTGTCACTGTAGGTCGTTAAACTCAAAGATACACTGAAAAATATAATGAGGCTCATGTGTGCTCACCGGTCTTACCGTTGGCCCTAAAGTGACCTTTGATCCAGCATGACCCAGAGGTCACGAGGTGCCCTTTCATTCCCACTGGTGTGGTGACAGCCAGGCTAATTACCCACACTGTGTGCCTGTGAGAGCCATAAAAGAAGTTATGGCTGTAGGATGACAAAGCACTGTAATGTTGATGCTCATTTAGTGGTGCACTGGTGCTGTTGTCTTCTTTGTTCACTAATGATTGTAAGGTGTGGGCAGTAGTGAGCATTATACAGCACTGTGCAAAAGTTTATGGCGGGTGTGGAAAAAATGCTCTAAAGTAAAATGCTTTCAAAAACAGTGTGTTGTTAATGTTAAAGGATTATATTTATCAATTAACAAAATGCAAAGTGAGTGAACAGAACCTCACCGGCCACTTTATTAGGTACACCTGTTCAACTGCTTGTTAACACAAACAGCTAATCAGCCAATCACATGGCAGCAACTCAACAAGCATTTAGGCATGTAGACGTGGTCAAGACAACTTGCTGAAGTTCGAACTGAGGATAAGAATGGGGAAGAAAGAGGATTTGGCATGCTTTGTTGGTGTCAGACGGGCTGCTCTGAGTATTTCAGAAACAGCTGATCTACTGGGATTTTCACACACAACCATCTGTAGGGTTTACAGAGAATGGTCCGAAAAAGAGAAAACATCCAGTGAGCTGCAGTTGTGTGGATGAAAATGCCTCGTCGATGTCAGAGATCAGAGGAGAATGGGCAGACTGGTTCGAGGTGACAGAAAGGCAACTCAAATACCCACTCGTTACAACCGAGGTGTGCAGAATAGCCGATGGGCCACACCGGGTGCCATTCCTGTCAGCTAAGAACAGGAAACTGAGGCTACAGTTCACAGAAATTACCCATTAATGTATCAAGCTGCAAGAAACAAGGAAAGCAAGTTTTGCACCGCATCTGCTGGATGTGTTAATAAGCAACAAGTTCACCATATCAACTTAAACGGTGATGATTTGTTGTGGATAGTGTTTAGTTCACAGCTTGTTTCTGCTGCCCACTTGGCCAACCAAGTCAGTTTTTGCAGGTTTAACTAAGCTTCTATCACATATACATGTGATGATTTCATGTTAATATTCAGTTCATTTAACTTAACGCAGTCACATACAGGTATGATGAATATATTTACGGCTGGCCAGTTTCTGAAGTGGTGCTGGTCTAAAAAATCTGTATTCTCTGTGATTTAAGTTGGAGCAAAATGTGACAGGTTAATAACTTTTTTAAAAAAGTGCAGGTTACTCTGTTACAGTGAAAATAATTTGTTACCTCCTGCGTGCGTAAGTGTGTATTTGTTGCCCATGGGCGCTCCGGCTCCCACTGTAAGAGCATCGTGATATATGTTCACAATTATATTGCATTATAGAAATGCATCTTTTGCTTGAAAGCTGCTACAGGAGCACAGTGCTTTTTATGACAGAATGGTGGTAGGTATAGAACATTTTCTTAATTATCAGCACAGGCATTGTCGGATATACATAGTTCTCTTTTTTTCCTGTCAATATCTTTCCCAGGCTTTCGCAGGCTTACATGATTTGAGGGAGTTTACTTTTCACTGTAAAACTCAGTTGTACTTCAGAGGAGTTTCTGTGTTTCCACTTAAAGCGGTCCTGTGCGTTTCAGCCACCACTTTATCAAAGGCCCAATAATGAAACGCTTGCTCACAACATCTAAATATGGAATGCAATGAAAGTGGTGTCAAAAAACAAACAAACACAAAATAGATAATCCATTTGTGACCCATTTCTGTCCCTGTGTGAGCTGCATTGTTCAGAATAATAATAATGAAAAAAATTCGCTCCCCAAGGCACGTATGTATCTACAAAGCCCCCGTCGCTGACAAAGGGTTTGTCACTGTGGGACCATGAGGAAATTAGGACTGAGCAAGAGGCTTGTACAACAACCAACACCCACTTAAAAAAAAAGTATATAAAAAAAACCTGTCGCTTGTTATAAGACCGGTGTGATCCCACTTCTAATTTTGAGATTCCCACCCCTACGTGTGCATTCAAGTGTGTGAAGCAGAGAGCATTAGTGCTGCCTCTCTGATCGCATGGCGGCACAGGAAGGACATTGTCACCATGTGTGTTTTTAATAGGATAGCAAAATAAACCTGTTTTCTGGTGAGCAATTACCCATTCTTCTGGCTCGGTATAAATTAGGAAAAGCTGCAGAAAAGAGGCTTTGAAGGCCAGAAGGAGGGGAGGACATAGACAGGATCTCAAATTAAGTCCTGGTACATATTTTATTACTGTGACTTACACTTCAGCTCTGTCGAATCCCCTAACCCCTGCATGGACTGAACCGCCGCTGATGCTCCCTGTACACCTCCTGGTTTCGCCTCGAGTTTTCTCATCTCATCTCATTCCACGGGATGGCATGTTATCAAATGTGTTTTCTGGCTTTGTGTTTTCTACAGCGTTAATGCTGGCAGGGGAGGAAATCAAACACCTTTCTCTCATGGCAAACCACAGAACACTAGATCCCCCCCCCCCCCCCCAGCTCTGAACAACAGTGCTGACTGTCAGGAGAGCTCAGACTAAACACAGGATTATGTCTATCGTCAAGTGGCATGGAGGGTCAATTCACCGTCTGGCTTCCTGAGAAGGAGTTTCAAACAGATTTCATCTTTAAGGTGATGATTTTGCGGTTAAGGATGGAAAAGGATTTCGATCAAACTCCAAATAAGGCCATCGTACAAAGCTCAAAAGCTTGTGGCAACTGAATGGACACAATGGATGTGATGTATGCCACTTGTACAGTGTTTGGATTTAGGTTGTTCATAAAAGCGAAGGCGCAGTGCATGGAGAGGCCTCAGGGGCAGGTAATGTGCGGCTGTGATGCCACCTGACATCTTCCTCAGAGGTGTTTCAGGCAACAAATAGCAGGTCTGTCTGCTGTCAGCCTGTAGGCCACCTGGGGGGTCAGGCCTGACACTCTGCGCTGTGACAGCATAAGCACCCCCCAACAAACTCTCCCCCCCCCCCCGTCCTCCTTCCAGTCCAGGGCCAGGCTGAAAGCCCCAGAATGCACCGGGAGCCGTCACAGCCGATGAGGAGTGACGCTGGTGAGGAGGGAGAGAAATCCCTCTTTCCTTAAGGTGCAATGAAAGGTCAGAAGCCTGGTATCACTGGGAGAATTACTCACCACGCTGCCTACCTTGACATCAACAGAGAGCCGACCGGCGGGGAGCGAGCGAGAATGAGACGAGGGGAGAGAACAGGTGGAGGGCTGGAGAGCAGTGGCAGATAGGTGGTGAGGGAGTAATGAGTTGGGTGGGTGGGGGGGGTGGTGACAGGGTCAGGGGGAGGTGGAGAGGCAGGTTGAGGTAATAGGCTATAGGGAGCGTGTATGTGTGTCGTGACGTTTGAAATACCAATTGTGTGTGTGTGTGTGTGTGGGTGTGTGTGTGTTGGGGGGGGGGGGGGGAGAAGGGTCGCTGAAGACGTCTTGCCCTTGCAGCACTTCATCACATTCAGTTTTTTATCCACGCTTCCTGAACTTCCACTGCCTTTTCCGCTCCAGTTGGCTCTCAGCGGACAATGCGATCAGAGTGTCCCTCCATGTGCATTATGCAAGCATGTTCCAGTCTATAGTTAAGATGTCAATGGTGCGTGCACTTCCCCAAGGTCAACACCCTAATGAGAAATCTCCAGGGACAACAGCAATTATCAAATAACTAAATGCAAAGCCAGCCAATGTGCAACAATTATTCCTGAGCCCAGCGTTAATAAAAAGGTTTGATTGCATCATTTTGTTTTGGGCTTAAAAGACAATCCCCCCAATATTCTTACTCTGAGACAATGTCAGATACTGGTAACTTGTCAGTCGTAGTCAGGGCCTACCCCATTTGAATTCTGGGACCATCTGCTACTTCACACATCCTCTCTAATAGCTTTCTTTTTCCATCGTGGCTGTCTCACTATCTGACATAATGTAGTTATGCACAAGACATTCACTCAATATTCAACAAAGCGCACACTATCTGACTGCACGGCTGTGTGGCATTCTCTCAACCTGCCTGCACATAACAAGACTTTAAGCACATGAGCACTTGGTCTTTGACTGCTTCAGAGTCTGAATAGCGTGGAGGAGAGCTGAGTGGAGGATTGAGATTGATCAGCAGTGAGACAGTGGCTGTGTCTCTCGCTGAGTGTTTCTGATTTTTTAAGGTCACCCTCACTATAGCCAAAAGGGCACATCAATTTTAGAGCCCTCATGAGAAGGCACCGCGTCTCCTCCTCGATCACTCAGCCCCCCGTGGAGAGACGACATCTGAAGGTGCACTTGATTTGTGTGAAACCTGGTGCCGTGCATGATCAGAATAAAAAATAAACAGACACAACCTGGGTAAACAGATGGATAGCACCTCAACATGTGGCACTAGACGGCTTCAGAGAACATGTAACAACTGAAAGGCAACTGATTAGTAACTTGGCAGTTGTCAAAAACAATATGGTGCTCTATAAGTCATACTGTGCATTTCCTAAATGTAATAATTGTACAGAACCAGATAACTGCACAAGTATACGTCGAATATAGCAAAACATGGTTAAAGAGAGAAATGGAAAAACGTGCGTAACAGCTCATGGACAGGCAACAAACTGTTTCTAGTAATAAACCCCATGAATGAAAGACAATTTTGACAAATTCTAAGTGAAATGTATAATTGCATAGTGTAATTGGCCTAGATATGACCTCCCCCGCCCCTTAAAAACAAAAAGGTCAAACAGAGTATGAAGCCGCTCAACATCCACATCCAGTAACGCACTTTTGGAAAGCAGTGCAAGGACAAAAACAATGAGGCGTTCATCCCCGAGACAGCTTCAGGGAACAGCAGTGAGTGGGAGGAGAGTGAAAAGATAACATCACAAAAAAAAACACAGACAAGGAGAGGGAGAACGAGGGAGAGAGCAGGAGGAGGGGGAGAGTCATCAGAGATCAGGGTGACCCTGCGCCACTCAGGAACATGTTCTGCCTATAAGCTACAGGAGAAGCCTAAAGTTTGCCACTGAGTAATCTCTCCGCTGTCAACATCCAGGGACTTGGCCTTCACAGTGACCATGTTCCAGCAGCGTAGGGCCACACCGCTCTACAAACTCTGCCTGATATAGTACAGAAGAAGCATGTTTTGGGGAAATGTTTAGCCAAGTATCTCTGAGTGGACAGCAGAGAATGAGATACACCTGCCCTGAAAGCTCATACAGTAAAAGGTTATAAAGACAATGGGCTCACTAGCCTGAAGAAGTCTCAAAAGGAACTTCACAGAGAAAATATTCTCCATGGAGGTGCCAAAGAGAGGGTGAGATTAAGGAAGCATACTTACAAAAACATTACAGCAGATGGTGTCTTGCTTTGA